TAGAGGACACGGCAAACCTCCAGTCAGATGTAGATCAGGTCTTTCTATGGGCTACAGAAAATAATATGGTGTTTAACGAAGATAAGTTCCAGCTCATGCGCTACGGAAAAAATGAAAATATAAAAAAGGAAACCACGTACAAAACTCAGGCAAATCATAACATAGAACGAAAAGGCAATGTAAAGGATCTGGGTGTACTCATGTCGGAAGACCTTACCTTTAAAGAACACAATAAAGTAGCCGTCACAACTGCAAGAAAAATGACAGGTTGGATAACAAGAACTTTTCACACTAGAGATGCTATACCGATGATGATACTTTTCAAAACGCTTGTGCTCTCTAGAGTGGAGTACTGCTGCACAATGACAGCACCTTTCAAAGCTGGAGAAATTGCTGACCTGGAGAGCGTGCAGAGATCCTTTACTGCTAGAATCCACTCAGTAAAACATCTAAACTATTGGGACCGACTAAAGAGCCTAAATCTGTATTCTCTTGAGCGCAGGCGGGAGAGATACATAATAATTTACACGTGGAAAATAGTAGAGGGGCTGGTCCCAAACCTGCACACAGAAATAACACCACATGAGACCAGAAGACATGGCAGGATGTGCAGAATACCCCCGTTGAAAAGCAGAGGTGCAACAGGTACTCTGAGAGAGAACTCTATCAACATCAGAGGCCCGAGACTGTTCAACACGCTTCCACTACACATAAGGGACATAACTGGCCGACCCCTCACAGTGTTCAAGAGAGAACTATCAACATCAGAGGCCCGAGACTGTTCAACACGCTTCCACTACACATAAGGGACATAACTGGCCGACCCCTCACAGTGTTCAAGAGAGAACTATCAACATCAGAGGCCCGAGACTGTTCAACACGCTTCCACTACACATAAGGGACATAACTGGCCGACCCCTCACAGTGTTCAAGAGAGAACTATCAACATCAGAGGCCCGAGACTGTTCAACACGCTTCCACTACACATAAGGGGCATAACTGGCCGACCCCTCACAGTGTTCAAGAGAGAACTATCAACATCAGAGGCCCGAGACTGTTCAACACGCTTCCACTACACATAAGGGACATAACTGGCCGACCCCTCACAGTGTTCAAGAGAGAACTATCAACATCAGAGGCCCGAGACTGTTCAACACGCTTCCACTACACATAAGGGACATAACTGGCCGACCCCTCACAGTGTTCAAGAGAGAACTATCAAAATCAGAGGCCCGAGACTGTTCAACACGCTTCCACTACACATAAGGGACATAACTGGCCGACCCCTCACAGTGTTCAAGAGAGAACTATCAACATCAGAGGCCCGAGACTGTTCAACACGCTTCCACTACACATAAGGGACATAACTGGCCGACCCCTCACAGTGTTCAAGAGAGAACTGGATAAGCACCTCCAAAGGATACCTGATCAACCAGGCTGTGACTCATACGTTAGGCTGCGAGCAGCCGCGTCCAACAGCCTGGTTGATCAGTCCAGCAACCAGGAGGCCTGGTCGACGACCGGGCCGCGGGGACGCTAAGCCCCGGAAGCACCTCAAGGTAACCTCAAGGTAAGGTTGAAGTGGACTGTAATGTTTTTTCGGCAGCTTTATTTCCTTAGTTTCCGAGCTGTTTTCTTTACCGTGTATGTTGTAATAAACTATTCCTATATTAACAGTTGTTTCTCCCTGTGAAGATTATTAAACAATGGTGATTATAAGGGCGCGGAAGTTCAGCCTGGCCAGGGCCGCCAGCAGCCCTTGGGCCCGCCCCGGCACCACCCAGTCTTTAATTTGGCACCTTTGTGGCACCTTGGTGTAAGCCTAACATGTATATATACACTGGCTGCCTGTCCCCCTACACAATGATTTATTATTACCTATTATTTTATCATTTAATTTAAATATTAAATAAAATAATTTATTTAATTATTATAGTAAGTACTTAATAATTTAATAATAAGTAGTAAGTGCATAAAAATGATTAAAAAGTACAGTTTAGTCATAGGAGATTCCTAGAATGGAATTCACTACCAAATTTCAATATATCCAAGTATTTTTAGTGTGAAATGCTGTTATTATATGCATAAATTGTTGTTTTAATAATATTACGCTTAACCACTTGGGCTGGACGGTAGAGCGACGGTCTCGTTTCCTACAGGTCCGCGTTCAATCCCTGACCGCTCAAGAGGTTGGGCACCATTCCTTTCCCCCGTTCCATCCCAAATCCGTATCCTGATCCCTTCCGAGTGCTATATAGTCGTAATTGCTTGGCGCTTTCACTTGATAGTTCCCCCACCCCCTGAATAATATTACGAGAGCAGTATTTACGGGCTATTCATGCCCGTGCCACCTCTTGGGTGGCTTAATCAAACTAGAAATGCTTCACAAATCAAGGGACCCAGATTGTGGAATGACCTTCCCAACCATGTTAAAGACTGTACCTCTCTCAACCAGTTTAAGATAAAAACGAAGCTATACCTAATAAATTCCTTGTAACCTACCTTACCCTTCTATTGTCAACCAATGTCTGTTTTTTTTTTAAAGAGCGCTGTTTGTCGACAGAATTGTATTTGTGCTGCTTTTTCAGCTATGTTTTCATTTCTTGTTTTCATTCTACTCTTTATGCTCAATTAGTATTAAGCTTTAGTCATTTAAGTTTTTCATGCCCGAAACGCTTTGCGTAATAGTGGCTTTAGACATTGTATGTCCTAGCTCTACCTATAAATCCATCACTCTTTGTAAAATCTCTTGTATGTATGTACCTTACCTAAATAAACATTTGAATTTGAATTTGAATTTGAGTAAGGGAGGGGGGGTGCACCGTGGAGGGACACAGTGAGGGAGGGGGGTGCCTTGTGGGGGGACACAGTGAGGGAGAGGGGGTACCTGTGGGGGGACAGAGAGAGGGAGGAGGGTGCCCGTGGGGGGACACCGTGAGGGAGAGGGGTGCGCGGTGAGTGTGGGTGTAGGAGGGGCAGCAGAGTATACCAGGAGCGCCTGCGGCCCTCACACAATAGTGGGAGACAGTAACAATGGCGCGGGCTGCCAGTGCTGGGTGGCTGGAGTACCTCCTGCTTCACTACCGGTAGGTCTCCTCTCACATCTGCCACACCATAGGTAGCCTGGGCCACACACCTCTCTCCTACTTTACTCAACCTACTCTCATCAATTATATGCTAATATTTACATAGTATTATTTCGTTGATATTGGTTTTATTTAACTCTGTGCTTAACAAATAAGCTACTCGGCCAGTGGGCACCAACGTCGCCCTCTGAGTGAAGGTGCGAGGGAGCTAATTTGTTTGTATTGTGAATAAGTTGTTTAATAAGACATAATTATGAATTATAATTATATAATTGTACTGCTGTGCATTGAAGCCACACACACACATTATATATATATATATATATATATATATATATATATATATATATATATATATATATATATATATATATATATATATATATATATATATTATTATATATTCACAAAATTGGGTCTATGAGAGTACATAGCATTGATGTTTTTACATTCTTGTAAAGCCAACAACATGCATAGCGTTTCGGACAGGTCCTTAATCTAACAGATAATTTTAAGTAGGTAATTTGTAGTAAAATTTGAGGATTATCAACAGGTACATTGTGGCATAATTTGTGTATTCTTAATAGACACATTGGTGTACAATTTGCGTCCAACATAACAACGATGATATAAGATGATAGCAGTGACTACAATGGTGAAGTTGTATGTCTTAGGCACATATATTGGAGGGGTTGGGTAGCACAAGATACAGTACGAGTTTGAAGCATTAGGTGATAAACTATGTGGGTGGAATTAGGTACTTTTTGGTTTTACTTTTGAATAAGGCGAAGGTTGGACAGCTTTTGAATTCGTTAGGGAGTGAGTTCAGTAGACTAAGTCCCCTAATTTGCATAGTGGTTTCACAGATTTAGTTTGGCTCTGGGGATATCAAAGATATAATTATTTCTGGTGTGGTGATTATGGGTTTTATTACTATTATTCTATTATACTATTATGGGTCAAGGAAGAGTTTCAGATCAGAATTTGCATTTAGGAACAAGGTTTTGTACATGTGAATGGTACAATAGAAGGTTTGGAGTGAGTTTGTTTTAGCATGTTTAGGGACTTAAACAGAGGGGCTGTGTGTCGTCTGAAAACACAGTTTGTTATTGTTTTAATAACAGATTTTTCCTGGGTGATGATGGGCTTGAGGTAGTTTGCAGTGGTTGAACCCCATGCACAGATACCATAAGTAAGATACGGATGGAGTAGCACGTAGTATAATGAGGGGAGAGCAGAGTTTGGAACGTAATATTTGATTTTAAAGAGTTTACCGACAGCTTTTGAGACTTTTTTGGCTCTGTGTTGTATGTGGGTGCTGAAGTTGGGTCTCGTGTCTAAGTATAGGCCAAGGAACTTTTCATCACTTATTGCTGACATTAACATTGTCTATCTGAAGCTGAATTTCATTTAATGATTCGCTGCCAAATAAGATGTAGTAGGTCTTTTTTTATGTTTAGTGTGAGTTTGTTGGTTGCCATCCATAAGTGGACATTTTTAATTCGTTATTTACAACATTATATAGAGTTTGTGGGTTTGGGTCTGAGTTTATCATAGAAAAGTTGGAGTCTACCTCCTGAACCCATCATACCACCATTCCACCGCTACAAACTAATTAAACTATACAGTAACTAATAATATGTGCAAAATATAAACCTATTGTATAGGACAATCGTAGGTAGATTCATCTTTATTTTCGATCGTAAGTTCATCAAGATATAAGCCCATACGATCACTGTCAAGGTTATTGTTCATTTCTGGGCCTTATATTCAATATAAGATTGATATTAGCCTAGTAGTTGAACCTTCAGTTGACCCACGCCTCTCACTTCCTGTAAAAGTCGTCTCGCGTTATGTTTTCCGGCGATATTTGAAGACTTTAGCGCCACCTTCAAGGAGATTACCCGGATAACGTGATAGGTTTGCGTGGGCGAGTACCAGAGCAAGTCTAGGGGTAGGTGGTCTACCACAGCACCACAGTGGTGAGGCGGGTCTACAGTGGTCTCGCCATACACATCCTACGGGCAGAGCTGCAAGTCCGGAAGTAAGTCCAACCACTTACCTCACCAATTGAGCGAAATATTTAAGCCATAGAATCTTGTTCATGTAATGGTATAAACGTTTACATTTTAAGCGACATTCGCAAAACTCTACTTATAAAAATTGACTTATGAAACAAGAGGATAAATTAAATATTGAAATCGTTTCTCGATATATCCTACTTTTTAGCAAATAAACAAAAACTATTGTGAAAAACGAATGTATACACCAAGACATGACCCTGCTTTAGACAAGCGGGCAAAGTTTCCGTATGGGAGAAAAACATCTGCCTATTGAGTTGCGTTGGGCTGTGTCCGCAACAACTAGGGGCACTTACGGCATCAGTATCGGTCACCCTTAACTACTCCCTACATGATTAGTTATCTCAATTATTTGATAAATTGTTCTTTGACATGTTTTATTGCTTTATTTTATGGGGCATGCTCCGTCAGAACCCCCCAAAGTGTTAGGCTTACACTTAGTATACATAGCTTAGTTAACTTCTGTAACTCATTTAATACATTATTAATTGAGACTACGTTAATGTTTACTTAAGTAATAAATTCACACTGCTCGACGAGTTAGGGGAAGAATGTACGAGTGCTAGGTGCATGAAAGTAACTAAGCTGTAATTAATTATAATTAATAAATGTCAATATTATTAATACTAAATTTTAGTATAATAAATTAATGCCCCATCCAATGGAGATGATTTTCTTTCAAGCACAGAAAATGTATAAATAATATATAAGAACTGTGGCCGCGGGGACTATAGTGTTATCTGAGGAAGATATTGGTCAGTTGTGGACTTTGTTCCCAAGATTACCATCAGACGACACCCTGTCCGAGACGTTAATCATTCCATGTACACACTTTAGTGTTCCCTGTGCTTCACGCTAATTGAATAGTTCCTAAAATGTTACTGCATAATTTACAAATTCTGACTTTTGTCAGTATAGCTGTATAGGATTATATTTTATAAAAATAATATACTTTTAGATGGGAAACTTGCAAAAATTTACACAATTAACATTTAAAATATAAGCAAAACTTGCAAGTAGCTAAAAATAACTACCAATCTTATCTTTTGGATAATATTGTTTTTTATGTATTTTTATTTATTTATAGACACACGAATTCTTACATTCTAGTACAGCAACTAGCAAGCATAGCGTTTTGGGCAAGCACTTAATCCTAATTTCTACACACACACACACACACACACACACACACACACACACACACACACACACACACACACACACACACACACGAAGCAGCCCGTAGCAGCTGTCTAACTCCCAGATATCTATTTACTGCTAGGTGAACAGGTCCATCAGGGTGAAAGAAACTCTGCCCATTTGTTTCCCCCCTCCACCGGGGATTTGCTTATAGGTCTTTACCCTTCTCACTTCCTCTTGCACTTGCACTATTCCCATAACTTATTACCTATAGGCTATAGTAGTTTAATAATAATTCGTTTTGTCGAGGGAGACAGACATTCGTATTAACGAATGGAATTCGTTAATACATCATGATGCAACTCCACAACTCAACAAGCTGGTTAACTCCTTGGTACCTATAGTTACTGCCAGGTGAACAGATGCACTAGGTGATAGGAAACGTGCCCAACCATTTCTGTCCCACCCGGGATTCGAGCCCGGAATTCCCGATTGTGAGTCGAGAGTAAACCCGACTATACTATTGCGGGATTTCATAATCTTCCCGACTTGTGCACGTAGAGACGGTCTGATATATATAAATAATATATAAGAACTGTGGCCGCGGGGTCTATACTGTTATCTGAGGAAGATATTGGTCAGTTGTGGACTTTGTTCCCAAGATTACCATCAGACGACACCCTGTCCGAGACGTTAATCATTCCATGTACACACATTAGTGTTCCCTGTGCTTCACGCTAATTGAATAGTTCCTAAAACGTCAGTTGCAACTAATATATATATGTAATATAATATAATATAATATATATAGATGGTAATTTAATACGAGAGTCGCTATAGGTATAGGTACACAGTTGGGCGAGTATACTGGGTGGCACTGGCACGGTGACGTGACATTTAGCAGGAGCCCAAGATGGACAGCACAGCAGGCGAGAGGTTGCTGCCACCCCGCCACCTGGACGCCATTTGGAGTGGGCGGGGCCTGAGTGGGCGGGGCCTGGTAACGACCCGCCCAGCTGCTTGTTGCCAAGCTCCGCCCACACCACGTCCCACTGTGGTGGGTCGGTGCTGCAAGTGCCCTCTTATGACTTGCTGTTGGTCTCCTGCTTGCTAGTGCCAAATGTCACTCATGACGAACCAAATAGTTCTTTTCAGTTTCACTAAAGAGTGAGTGAAAGACATGTTTTCGTTAATGTTACTTAAAACAAGTAATTCTGAGGGTTTGTGCCCGATGTTAGAAACGTATTAATATAACTTAATGAGGATAGTAATAATTGAAACCAAAATATATTTGTTTTTAATATTGATATTCGCTTTTACGTGTGTTTTGTAAGAGTAAGCTCGATTAAGCTGTAGCTTGAGTGTGAGCACGCTCACCTATTCAGTTACTAACCAGACCCAGCAGTAATTATCCGGAGTGACCAAGTGTGTCTAGTGAAACATGAGTCATCAATACCGTAGACTTGTGATACTCGTATATAAAGAAAACGTTAAGGTTGCTCGATGCAGTAACTACGCTAAATATAGAGCAAAGATTAATTTGATTAAGACTTAACATTTACTGAGTACCTTAAATACATGCAGTTCAGTAGAACTATATACATATTAGCAACGCAAATAACATTTTTATATTTACAAAGTAATATTAGAGATATGGTAATGTGCATGACTTGGTCAGCACAACAACCCTCTCTTAGGACTTACTGTTTCTCTGTTTAGGTAAAACTGTAAACTTGTTTACTAAAGTTGTGATTCTGACACAACAACAACAACTACCTAAATAATGCCACCTCATACTAGCAAATCTGATTTTGATGTTTTCGTGCAGACTGTCTAAGTTTACCGCTGCCATCATCTCTATACTGGCCTCCACGGGGAGACGAAGCCGGAACCGTCTCGGATAAGACAGTTCTCGTCCCCCTCTCATAATATTCCTGAATATTTAGTTTTCAGCTAAACTTTGAACAAACCTGTATACACGTCAGTATTTCCTACACAATGGAGAGGGCGGTGTAGATGTCCTTGATACTGTCAGTGGGGTCATGGCCAGCGGTGTGTAGTACGGCCTGGGGGCTGCCGTCTCCTCTCACAGTCTGGCAACCTCCAGGTTGATGTGTCAGACAATGATCCTTGTATTGTTTCTGGGGAAATGGAGGATTTTTCTTTTAGAAAAAATGGTATTAAACATGTAACACCTGCCCTCTATAATCCTTCTTCGAATGGTCTAGCGGAGAGAGCAGCGAGATCCTTGAAAGAAGGGTTAAAGCGGTTTACGGAAGGTGCTATTAATACAAGGCTTTGTAGATTTTTATATAATCAAAGGAAAAGTGTTCATTCTACTACTGGTAAATCTCCTGAATTTCTGTTTAATAGGCACTTTAAAGTGCACATGGAAGCAGTAAAGACAGATCCAGATAAAGAGAAATCGGTAACTAGCTTGACCAGTCAGTTGACTCAGGGAGAGGAATTGTTGTTTAACGAGGGGGATGCACTATATGCAAGGAATTTTGGAAGTGGAAAACGTTGGGTAGACGGAAAAATTAGGGAAGTCTTGAGACGCAGGAATTTCATCGTGCAAGTGCAGAGTTTTGGGAACATTAATTGGAAAAGGCATGCAGATCAACTCATGCCAAGGTTCACGGAGTTTTGAAGACCCTTCAGGTGGGGGGGGGGGGCAACTAGTGATACCCATCCTAATAATGAAGGGGAAGCAGCACCTGCAGGAGACAGGGAGGCAGAGCAAGGGGCAGCAGAGGGTAATGGGGATACAGTTAACCCTATGGACTCTACAGTTAGTAATTCAGAAGAAGGTTCCCAGAAGTAACAGGTCTGGAGCCCCAGTTGAGAAAATCAGGAGGAATCATACGACCGCCTGATAAACTTAACCTGTAGGGGTAGAGTTTAACTAAAAGGGGAGGAATGTTAGGGTTAAGTACTACAGACGTTAAGTGTAGCATGTTTTGAGCAGATGCTCTTTTGTTTATAACTTTGTAAATCGTAAGTTATGCAACGTATACCTGTAACGTCATTGTTGTTGTGGTTGAGAATAAACTGTGTGTTTACGAAGATTGTTTCTCTTCCGGCCTAAACGTAACAAGGTACGAAAACAAAAACAAAAGAAAAAACCCGCAAGAGGTGAACGTACCCAGGCGGAAGAGAGTCAGCCACTATAATAATAGGTGATAACTAGCTGTGCGGTACCCCGCGCCCCTACCAGAGCAAACTACCCCGCACCCCGAGGCAAACAAGGGAGGATGACCCCCCCCCCCCCCGAACATTCAGGGCGGTTAATCACCGAGCACCAGAAGACTAAGCAGCAGTAGACCCCAAGGTGACTTGTGGAAGATGGCCCCAAGGGTGGTACTTACAGGCACTAAGGGAAGGGAACCCTAAGGGCATGCAGCCCGAGTACCTGTGAAGATTACTCTCAGCTCGCGCGCCACCTCGTAAGACAGCACTAGACACAAGGTACAGCACTGAAGCACAAAATCACGAGCTGGAGTCACACGACCATTTGCTATATACATCAGCCGAGAACTGAAGTGAGATAAAGCACCTAAATTATTGGGATCGTCTCAAAGCTCTCCAAATGTACTCACTAGAAAGGAGACGAGAGAGATACCAAATAATATACACATGGAAAATACTGGAGGGTCAGGTCCCTAATCTACACAGTAAAATAACAGCGTACTGGAGTGAACGATATGGAAGAAAATGCAGAATAGAACCAGTGAAGAGCAGAGGTGCCATAGGCACAATCAGAGAACACTATAAACATCAGAGGTCCGCGGTTGTTCAACGTCCTCCCAGCGAGCATCAGAAATATTTCCGGAACAACCGTGGAGATAAAGAGAAAACTACATTGTTTCCTCCAAGGAGTGTCGGATCAACCGGGCTGTGGTGGGTATGTGGGCCTGCGGGCCGCTCCAAGCAACAGTTTGGTGGACCAAACTCTCACAAGTCAAGCCTGGCCTCGGGCCGGGCTTGGGGAGTAGAACAACTCCCAGAACCCCATCAAGCAGGTATCAAGCAGGGGACAGCCGGCACAAGGGGTCTGGGGCTCCCCCCCCCCTCCCGGGAGGGGGGGGGGGAGCTGCGCAGACAAGCGGCGCGGCACATGTGACGTCATGCTCTTTTTCATTTGGGGGAGTTCTGTCCATTCGTTTAGATATTAGTAGTAGTTTTAACCAGAATAGGGATTTGTTTCGGGACGCTTACCTTTCTGGGTGCCTGATCCAGCCGATGGCAGACATAAGTAAGTAATTATCAAAAGAAGGCACCAAACCGGGAAGGCTATGTAGCACCATCAAATGTGCGGAATAATCAGAGGGCGCTAAATATCACCAAGGATGCCAATACGAGAACAGAAACGCATATCAAACGTTTATCAAAAGTTTGATATGCGAACGATATCAAAAGTGTCCGAGTCACCAAGAATTCTATTGAGGGACAAGTGACCGCGAGGGATGGCAGACATAGAATGCTCCAAATCATATGTTCAATTCTATAGGCCAATGCTCCTCGTGCCTCTCTGAGGGGGCTAGGTTCTGGCTCTTGGTCCCCGGTAGGCCGGCAGCCGCGTCCAACAGCCTGGTTGATCAGTCCGGCAACCAGGAGGCCTGGTCGACGACCGGGCCGCTGGGACGCTAAGCCCCGGAAGCACCAAGGTAACCTCAAGGTAGGCCTAAGAACGCCATTCACACTGATGCCAAAGTCTAATCTATCCATATCAGCTTGGTTAGCTCCGGGGAGCCGAAGGGACCTCCCCCACAAGAAAATTTATATATTTTAGTAATGACTATCACAATTACAAATTATTACAGTACATTAATCTAAGTTTGTTATGTATGTGCTCTTGTTTATTTGTAATATTCACATATGTTCTTTTGTGTAGTCTACACACTTCAGAATGGAGATAAGTTTTTTTCAGACGCTTAATTTCTTATTGTTGCAGGTGGGTGATCGTGATATTTTTCCTACTCCCAGCTTCATTCTTTTATGATATTTATTACTACACTCGGTCGTGGCTCGTCTTCAGACTCAGCTCTGCTCCCCGGCACCACGAGAGCCGGGTCAAGGATGTACAGAGACAGGTTTGTCCAGTCCAAACACACTACTTTACTATACAACAATAGTTACATAGTAATTAGTTTAACATTTTATCTGAATATATTGATTAAATATTTATGTCATAATAAAGAAATGTAACAAATACTGTATACAATTATAGAGTCCATATTGTAGTATGAAATGCTTTAGGCAAGACTGAAGCTATGAAATATTGCATAAAAATCAATATTACTATTACATTTATCAAGTAATGACAAGTCAAATGTTTGAAACTTTTAATAAGGTATATTTTATTTATTTGAAACTTTCACTAAATTGTTTTTTTCAAATCCTGGCTATTTAAATTTTTGTGTGAAAACAATTTAAATATGAATATGGCCTTTCACGAAGGTGAGGGAATGGCATGCAAGTGGCCAGGATGTCCCCATGTGCACTGCTCGTCCGGGGTGGCAGACAATAAGCTTCAGAGAGGGAGCCTACAAGAAAAAATTCTACAAGGTTGCAATAAACATGGTAGACATCTTGGAGATTGATATATGTAAAATGGTAAGTGAATATGTGGAAAATTTTATTGTATACCCTACTATATAGAGCATTTTATTAATAAACTTAAGTAAAGTGTGACTCGAACCATGTTTAAAGAGGTACAAGCCCAGCATTGCATTTAGCTCAGTCACACAAGTTTACAAAGTAATGTTTATTTACAGTAGTGAATTAAATTCTCTTGTACCATTTCCCTTTTTGCACTTAATTATTACCACATTGCCTACTGTCATGGGGTATACATCTCCTGTACTAGATGGGTAGCATAGGAAGCATTTAGTCAAACCAACACCCTTAAATTTGCCATACATTTCACACTAAGAATCAAAACCAACATCAATTATAATTGGTGATCTTACTCTGTCTTCCCACACACCATCAAATTTTGTAATGTTCTTCCAGTAATCATTTTTCTACTAAATAATAATAATAATTAGAAAAATTAATTAATAATCATTTTTATTAATGTTCATGTTAAATCTATGACACAAAAGCAATATATAAAATACCTGAATATCAATGTCCAAAAATATATTTGATAATTATACTGTCCTTTAAGGATGACTTGTATGAAATGCATAATTGACAATGTGTTTTTAAGAAATTAACTTTGTTGTGGAAACCGTAGACTGTTCGGTGTGAGCCACTTGTAACAATGGGTCAACTTACTCGTGCCCTTATTGATGTGGGCTGGACTATTCCCGTTGTTCCAGAGATGGATGATCTAACTATTGGTAAGTCACATTTTTATATGATTACCATTACTAAAATGTAATTTAGTTTTTGTTTCTCGAATCCATCCCGAGGGTGGTGAAAGGTGTGAACACGATGGTAATGAGGCATTTGTGGCAAGGTCTAAATCGGGTGTTATAAAGTGTGTGTGTTCTATACAGTGGCACCTCGACTTATGACTGCCCATACTTACGAATTTTTCGAGTTACGACGTAAATTTCATTCGGAAAATGCAATATGATACGCGTATGGGTCGACCGATCGCGTGGTTCCTGGCGGCACGGCCGAACCCGCCTCAGTTTTCCATAGCCGCCCACAGTGACGATCCTGCTGGTAAAGAAGATCATTATTTTTGTGTTTTTGTTTTTTGAACATAAAAGTAATCATTATATATGCCATGGGTCCCAAGAAAGTAAGTGGTAGGGTTCAACCTAAGAAAACATGTGAGGATGACCATCGAGGAAAAACGAGAGATCATTCGTAAACATGAAAATGGTACAAGTTGTTGATGTAGAGTAGAAGATGTCCCTTACTCATTTATTAAGAAAATGTGAACTATGGGAAGAATTGCAAAGTTTTGCTGAAAAGTTGTCATCCAAATCCAAGCTGTAGCAGGCCGTTGTGTTAACCTTTATTAATGACAATGTGATGTTTCACTTCAGACAAGTGTCGCTAGACATGTTTTTAGTGAGAAAAACAAGCAGCGAGCAACAAGCAGGTCCTAGTGGTATGCAGGCAACACTTAGAGAGAGTACCCCAGTAAAGTCATCACTGCTTCATGTTATAATGGAAGGGAACTCTCCTTCCAAACACTAACACCTCTCCTCCTCCTCCTCACCGTCTTCCATACGCTAACAACAGTCCTCATTCAAGATATATATATATATATATATATATATATATATATATATATATATATATATATATATATATATATATATATATATATATATATATATATATATATATACAGTACTGTATTGTAGCTGTAGGGGTCCCCCCCCCCGTCCAGAAACTACCACTTACCCCAAGGTAAACAGAGGAGGAGGAGGATTCTACAACACTCCCAGGGCGGTCAATTACCGAGCAGCAAAAGACCAACATAGGTAGACCCCAAGGTGAATTGTGGAAGATAACCCCAAGCCTCAAGGGCGGTACTTACAGGGAACTTAGAGAAGGGAACCCTAAGCACATGCACCCCGAGTACCTGTGAATATTACTCCCAGCTCACATGCCACCGTAACAGCAGTACTAGACACAAGGCACAGCACAACGCGGAGAGAATCAGGAGCTGGAGCCACACGACCGAACCTCATCACATCAGCCGAGAACTAAGAGGTAGACAGCCGGCACAAGGAGTCTGGGCCTCCCCATTCCCCCTCCCGGGAGGGGGGGAGCTGCGCAGACAAGCGGCGCGGCACGTGTGACGTCATGCTCATTTTTCAATTGGGGAGTTCTGTCCACTCGTTAGCTTTCAGTAGCAGTTTTAATCAGAATAGGTGTTTGTTTTGAGGCACTTACCTTTCTGCCAGGTCGATGGCAGATATAGAATGCTCCAAACAAATGTGCACTTCTATAGGTCATTGTTCCTCGTGCCTCTCTGAGGGGGCCAGGTTCTGGCTCGTGGTCCCCGGTAGTCCTAGAACTCCATTCACACTGATGCCAAAGTCTAATAATATACATATCAGCCTGGATAGTTCCGGGGAGCCGAAGGGACTCCCCCCCCCAGAAAATGCTCTGGTTTTTAGCTTTTTGTATACAGTATTGTCCATAGGCTTTTACAAAGCACATTACTTTTTTTTAGAACAAATGGTTTGGGTGACTTGTCAGTTAGATTCATTGAGAGCATGGATAAGAGATGGAATCTAAGTGAATTTGACTGACTTAGATAATTTTTGTTCTGAATTTGTGCCTGGTTTTCGACACAAATTAAAGTTTTGTCAAATTGCACGGCTGTGTGGTGGTGTTAGAAACGGCTTCCAACACCACCACACAGCCGTACGCCAGGCCTTGGTATTTGTAACTAGATTTCCTAAGAAAATGGGCTGCATTACCATAAGATTAATCCAGCATCAGTTTGTAAACCAATGAGCATATGCAAAGCCTAAGGAGAATTCATATTTAACATACATATTATTCCAGATCTGTCTTTTGATGGGTGATTTAAATTATACTAATCAACAGTAGACTTTCTACATACTCATACAATACTGCGTGTTATTGTGTTCTTATTTATTTTTGTACACTAATCTGCAAAAAATCCACTTCAGGTGGATTGGTAATGGGCACAGGCATAGAGACATCATCACACAAGATGGGACTGTTTCAACACACGTGTGTAGCATATGAATTAGTTGTTGCAGATGGCTCTGTTATAATTTGCTCAGAGGTGAGATCCTGCATCACTTTGCAGAACTCCTGGGTTATGTTGTGCTCCAGTATCAAGTAGTTTTAAGCTTTTATTTGCAATTCACACTGTTCTAGTGTCACATACTTTACGTAGTCTGTTGTTACGCAATATCAAACTATAAGGTGCAGGTATATTTTGAAAAAGTCAAGTTCTATTCATTAATGAACTACTGTATAAAGTAAACTTTTTAAAACTGTCTTTTAGAGGAAGATTAGATAATTGTTTAAGCTAAAAATCTATTTTATGAAATTTATATAATTATTTTTCCAGAATGAAAACAGAGACCTGTTCTACTCTGTTCCCTGGTCATATGGTACTCTTGGGTTTTTAACTGCAGTTGAAATTAAAATTATTCCTGCTCAGAGGTAAGTTTCTTATTATACCACAGGTAAATGATTGTTTTAAATACTGTAAATGATAGTACAGTATTCATATGCATAAAAGACTAGCAAAATGAACTACTCTGACAGGGAAATGCTTGGTAGAGTTCTTAATTACACTATTTATTGCCAAAGAGTAAAGCTTGATTTTAAACACAATGAACCACTGTGGCAGTCGTGGTGCTCTCATACTAGTGTATGTGTGGTGCTGGTACTCTGCACAGTGCGTGTTCACGAGGTGCTCTACTGAAGAGATGAGACTTGGAACATTATATACGCACGAGTTGCCTTGGAACATAAGAAGAACGTAAGAATGAAGGTAACTGTTGAAGGGCTGTCGGCCCATAAGAGGCAGCCCCTATTTATATCCACCCAAACAACACATACACTAGTGGAAGCACCAGGTGTAGGCATACCTGTTTGTGAGAACCCCCTGGCTGAGTGAAGCAATGATCAAAGAGAAAAAAATTGTTTTATTTCATGTTTGTTTCTCATAGATACATCACATTAATGCAATTTCTTTGTTCATGTGCAATGATGAAAGGGATATGAGCTTTCCACCCTACTTGGCAATATTGTTGGCGACTAAAGAGAGACCAGCCTGGGAATTGCTGTTTGTTGCAATGAGAATTTTGAAATCCTGTGTATTGAATTTAAATACTATGCTAATGAAACTAAAATTTATCATTGACATTACTAATATAAAATTCCTTGGATACAATTAGACAAAGCCAATAAAGGTTAGGTTTCCAGTGACTGAATGTCAGGTCATTTTAGTTTGCTTGCAACAGACATTAAATTTCATTAAATCACTGTACAGGGGTACTTGTAATGTTAAAAATCCATTAAGAGCAGAGTGCATATTTTAATGCATGATGATCAAACTAGTACACATGGGTTTACACTAGTACTCTATCATCATCATTACATTAGTGTACTTCTTTACTGACAGGTTTGTCCGAGTGGAATACAAGCCTTGCTATTCCCTGGATAGCCTTGTCAACACTTTCACAGAAGAGACAAGTAGAGTTGATGGGAACCAGTTTGTGGAGGGAATAATGTACTCCTTGCACTCTGGGGTGGTCATGACTGCCAACATGTGTACTTCGGCCCCACTTGACCAGGTAACTCTACACATGGAAACTATAATAATTACTGATGAACATTAACATACAGTACAAGTAAGATAATGTCATAAAGGTAAAGTGTTTTGCAAATCAATAACTTCATTGCACATCAATTACATAATGTAGGAAGGGGGCGGGGTTTACAGTGTGTATGGCAAAGTGGCAGGATTTACAGGGGTGTATGGTAAAGTGGCAAGGTTTACATGTTGTATGGCAAAGTGGCAAGGTTTACAGGGTGTATGGCAAAGTGGCAGGATTTACAGGGGTGTATGGTAAAGTGGCAAGGTTTACATGGTGTATGGCAAAGTGGCAAGGTTTACAGGGTGCATGGCAAAGTGGCAGGATTTACATGGTGTATGGCAAAGTGGCAGGATTTACATGGTGTATGGCACCATGTGGTGGCGTGCATGGTGCTGGGACGGCACGACACCAGTAACGTGCATGTGACGTCAGTGCATGTGACGTCAGTGCATGTGACGTCAGTGCATGAGACGTCAGTGCATGTGACGTCAGTGCATGTGACGTCAGTGCATGTGACGTCAGTGCATGTGACGTCAGTGCATGTGACGTCAGTGCATGTGACTTCAGTGCATGTGACGTCAGTGCATGTGACGTCAGTGCATGTGACGTCAGTGCATGTGACGTCAGTGCATGTGACGTCAGTGCATGTGACGTCAGTGCATGAGACGTCAGTGCATGAGACGTCAGTGCATGTGACTTCAGTGCATGTGACGTCAGTGCCTGTGACTTCAGTGCATGTGACTTCAGTGCATGTGACTTCAGTGCATGCATAGCACTGAAAGGCAATGATGGAAAGGGCTTGGGAAGAATTTTAAATTAAAAAAATAGTTTCTAAGAGTTATATTTTTATATAGCCAAATGAATTGAAATTTTGTAATTTTCATTTCTTTCATTAATTTGAATGCAAAATACTATTCACTCAGCTCTCTTGACAAACTTCTTTTTCTCTAGCTTAACAAAATTGGGAGATGGTTTAAACCATGGTTCTTTAAGCACGTGGAGACTTTTTTGACCAATCATGAAGCTGCAGTGGAATACATTCCAATTAGAGATTACTACCATCGTCACACAAGATCTATTTTTTGGGAAATACAGGTACGTAAAATTAATGTTATCGTGAATAAATTCAAAATGAGATTTGATTAAGCATACAGTATTAGTTTTCACATTTCATGCTAACAGTGCACCTTGCAGTTTAAACTCAGTACCCATATTCATAAACTAGTCAATCACTAGAATATTTCTACCATTGAAGAGAATAAATGTATTATGCCAAAACACATATGAAACAACTGGGAAGAAAGTCTGCCAATGACTTATGTTAATCCAAACCATCAGGATATCATACCGTTTGGCAACAATGTGGTATTCCGTTATCTTCTCGGGTGGCTGGTGCCCCCTAAAGTATCACTGCTTAAGCTGACTCAAGGACAAGCTATTAAGGAGCTGTACGAGAAAAATCACTTTATCCAGGACATGCTTGTTCCACTTGCTGATTTGAAGGAAGCACTTGGTGTCTTTGAAAAGGAAGTTAAGGTATGTTGAAAGGATGGATAATGGTAACATGTAAAACATTTGTCAATGTGACTACCCTGGCTTTGACAGAATATTTAAAGTCTAATGTGTTTGTTAAATTTGAATTAATGCATTTAGTCTATACAATTTTTAAGAGTATGGTATATTTGGTCTATGAAGCAGTGATATAGTAGTAGAGTACTTGTAAATTTCAGATACATCCCATGTGGTTATGTCCGTTCAAATTGCCTGCAAATCCTGGTATGCTTCATCCCTTGAATGGACAAGAGGCCTTATTTGTTGATATTGGGACGTATGGCACACCAAACGTTGAAGGCTTTGACCCAACTCAGACAACACGCAAAATTGAGGAATTTGTAAGAAAAGTTAAAGGGTAAGTAGGGATTTTTTTGTCACTGCCGCCATAATGACAATAAGAAAATAGAAACTGGTAAGTTATTTTGCCAGAATTTCAGTAAAGTTTCTTGTATATGGATATTGTTCTATTGATTAAAGTAGGATAAGAACACTGAAGAGACATATTAAAATGTTTAACAAAATATGTTGCATTGTAGTTGAATGTGAAAGCTTTGAAGTGCATATTAGATACTACTGAAAATGGTTAAAATCTGAGCTCAAAATGTTCAGCAGTCTGGAATAATATCCAATAAACTGGAGAAATACTAACCACATTGTTGGAGGTATACTGAATAGCAGATGAATTAATTTCAAATAATGTACGAAATGGTGTTGAATATTATATTTGCATACAAGAATGAATAAAATAATTTGACAGTTATGAAGGGGGGGTAAATTATAGTATGATTACAGTAGCATCAAATTCACTGCGGCATGTGTTCAAGCCTATTGTTTGTGTTCACGCCTTCGTGCCAGTGTGCTCTAACTTTCTATGCATATATAAATACTGTACAGTAGCTAGTCTCCTTTAGTGTCTTATTTAATTTTTCTAGCTTCTAGTTTTTTTTATACATTTGACTAATAGCTTATTAAATGCACAATATTTTTCAATGTACTGTACCATAAAATGCAAAAATTTAAATGCATCCTTAATATTTAGTTTAGTGCTCATAATAGGCATTCACTGAGAACATGCATCGCTTTTTTTTAGCAGTGTACAATATATTGTATATACAGTACAATATTTATTAAAAATTAATGATTATACTTTTAATGCTGGTTCTCTCCACAGCTTCCAAATGATGTATGCAGATTCATACATGACTCGGGAAGAATACAGGGAGATGTTTGACCACTCATTGTATGACAAAATGAGGGAAAAATTGAATTGCCAAAATGCTTTTCCTGAGGTGTATGATAAGGTAAACAGAAAGGCTCGTATTTAAGTTTTTTGAAATTTTCTTAGCAAAGTTTTAGGTCTCGTACATTGGGGTAATGTCTTCCACTGTTATATTTGCTGATAGATACTCGGCATACATGCTGTGAACATTTCTGTAGAAATGTAGTGTACGCAATAATAGCAATGCACGCACAAACTCAATTAGAGATATGTTTCAACTGCCATGATTAGCAGGATAAGAGTTGAATATAATGAAGCTACCTTGTTTGGCGAGGTCCGTGGTAGCTCCTATAACCAAGTACTGATACACCCAAACTTTGGGGAGATGCATTAGGCCTGGGCGCCTAAGGCTCATCTTTGCCTGTTGGGAACCAGGGCCTCTTAATAGTTGAGGAGAACTTAGGGATCACAAGCAGCCCAAAATGAAGAGAGAACATCCACCAGAAAGCCTACGTACCCACAAGTAATAAAGTAAGGTGATGTAATTATCAGGGAAAAGAACTAAGCCAGTGTGACTATATAGCCACAAGTATTAAGGCAAACTATTTGTGTTGTCACACTTGTGCTTTCTGGTGGAGTTTTTTTGTTTTGGATTGATCTCTTTCCTTGTCCAGTAGTGCCAGATTCTAGTTCTGGTTCCCAGTAGGCGAGGGTGGAACTTGTACGCAGGTACATTTTCCTGTGGCACGACTGGACCCTGGCAACTATTTTGAAAAGGGATCCTCCCAGATAGGTAAAGCATTTTTTTGTTTAAGAAACATTAACAATTAGCAAAGCTTTCTTATTTTAATAATATTTAAACATTATAATAACTGGCAGTGAATGTTTATTGTGTATATGGAAAGTTAAGAGAATAATGTAAACAAAAATTCAATTATATTCTATGCTGAGTAAATGTTATTGGATTCTTTAGCCCTCTAACACTTTTTTATTGTTTTAACTTTTTCCAATATTTTAAGATTGCTTTTAATGTTATATATGAACATATTAATAATAGATAATAAATTCCTTTTGCTTTGAGAGCAAGAGAAAATGATGTTATTTAACTTCAGAAGGCCACTTCCTCCTTTACAAACACTAAATACTACGCGATTCATACCATGGAGATACTTGGCCTGATTAAAGTTTTCTTATTATGTCCTGTTGTTTCATTATTTTCAAAATACTAAACACCTTCCTCCTCTGAATATACGAAATACTATGAGTGATAGAGCAAACGGTCATGTAATATAGTGAAATATAAATGTATGCTTTCAAGACATTTAAATAGATACAATTTCTTTGAACATTAATTTTAGTCGTTCAGCTAAGAGATAAACAATTTTAAATGTTAAAAAAGCTCTTTAATTTACTGAACAAACTTTGCCGTACTCCTAAAGGCTAATATCAGGCTAGCTAACTTTTATAACACAGTGGACAACCTAAGAAATACGAGCCCTGGAACTTGGGACCATGGAAACCAGATCAACCCACAAAGAGTCCACTGAAGATTCAGTGGACTCAATGTCCAATGTGGACTCAATGTCCATCGGTTCTGTGGACATTGAGTCCACAGAACCGGTGGCCCATAGGTAGCAGCGTAAAGCTGCCACCGGACAAAGTGCATGATGCATTCTCGACCAAACCAACTAAGCATCCACAACCAAAGAACTCCTCCAGAAACCAGCCGACTCATTCTTCGTCAGAAAAGGGGGCCGGCTGCACCAGAACAAAACACCCACCAGGACCAAAAGAACAAACCCCCTTTGCACTGAAGATCATGATGATTTCCCACCAGCTGGGGGCTGGGCTGGCCACCAAGGAGTCAGAAGCATCACTCTCTCCTGTAAGACTCCTGATGAGCTAGCACTGAGTAACAGCTGGACCAAGTAAAAGAGATAAAGAAACCCCGATCTCAACCAGTCCAACTAAAAAGACGTTCACCATGAGGGCCTTGTAGTCGGGGAACAGCGTCATGTAAAGACGAAGATACCGAGACTAAGCCAACGTGAAGAGGTCCACATCCGAGCTGCCCAAACGTCTGGCAAAGCCAAAGGAAGGAATCGCCGTCGATGGTCCATTCTGTGGAGAAGACGGAACCGGGACAGACCGTCTGCCAGGAACATCGGACACTCCCTGAACGTGAATGACATTGAGATGCAATTCTCGAGAACTCGTCAGATGAACCACTCAAAGCAACCAGCTCCAAAGAGATGGGGCTCACAGGAAAACACACAGGTTGCTGTGTGTTGCCAGAGCAACAACCAACAACCAAGCATCATCAGAATAGAACTGATGGGTGGGACGAGCCGGCTGCTCCGGTTCTCCTAACTCTTCCCCAAGGTGAGGTAGGGCAACTAGCTCGTACAATTTTCCGAAATTTTGGTGGTTTGTTTTCATTGTTGGAGGAGTTCTTTTGGAAATTTGGAGGCAACAGGCTCGTTTTTAACTATGCAGTAGTCTGTTTTCTTTTGCCTACTGGTGTCTTCACTGGTGGTGGCAATTGTGATTAACTTTAAATAGAGTACTCAAGGCCACGGCTCCCTGCGCCTCTCTGATGGAACCAGGATCTGGCCTGTGGTCACTAGTAGGTCAATAGAACTCCGCAACTGACGGCACCTAGTAATATGGCATCAAGTCAGTAATAGTTTCAGGAAGCCTCGAAGGTCTTTCCCCAGAAAAAGAGTATAAACATTTTATGCACTGCTGAGTGGGACCCTGAAATGCCCCAAATGATAATGCTTGTGAACATGCTGACGGGCCAGAACGTTAGTGTTAACAGATTGGCTATGACATTTAACAGCAATATCATGTCAAAGAATTGAAACTGCTGCGATCACTGAAGGGTTTAATTACAGCACTATTACATAAACACTCCTTTCCTAGTTAATATTTCCTCGGAAAGCCCTCTACAGAAAACACTTTTTAAAAAGGTATATTAAAGTATTAAATAATTTTCAATTCATGTATTCTTTATTATTTTATCTTTCACTTAATTACCTAGAATATAAAAATAAATTGGACTTAATCATCCTGTGTTGGGTCAAACTCCTTATACCAGCGACTAAACTCCATAACTTTCTTTCGCTGTGCATCAAAGTTTTCTCTGCGTGGTTTACGCCATAACTTGTTATCCAAGTCCAACATCCCACCAACAATTTCCTGCAGCAAAAATCAAATTATCAGATAATTTTCTACGATTGGGAAAAGTAACCAAAACACAATGTGCAGAATATGTAAGAAATCACCAAGAGAAGGTGCCAAGCCGGGGAGGCTATGTAGCACCAAATGTGCAGAACAGTGACAGCAGATTTACCTTAAATTTGCTTTTAGATTTTAGGCAACAGAAACAGTAAAAAAAAATTGATAAACATGGCAAGATATTCAATACAAAATTAAATGAAACTAATCTTTATTCAACACATGTCTTAATCATGTTAATACTGGCATTGCCCTGCTCTTTTAACCCTTTTTGCTGCAACTGATGAAATATAAAACTCTAAATACAAATTAACTGAAGCTGATCCTCCCCCCCCCCTTCCCCAGGCCTTGAAAAGTTAATACATCCTATAATTTTCGTCCAGATGTCTGGCCTTCAAAACATGAACTATTATGCAGTAGATGTTGGCAGCAAGTGAAGAAAAACTTTAGGAAATTTAGATTTATTGCATAGGTTAAATCACACAAATTTATTTGTAACAATTTTCAATATACAGTACAGTAATTATGTAAATTGTCACTTTACACAACAAACTTGGTGTAACTGATTTTCGTGTGAAAGAATCTAGTAGCCACTCTTTATTGAAAAGTGGAGTGACCGCCTCCTCCCAACCCTCTTAGCTAGTGTTGCATCGTGGGTTTCACGAGGGTGTTTGGCACCAATTTGTGGCTTCAGACAATTTGAAAGGTTAAATTTGAATTGCAGTTACGCGTATTACAGTTGCTGGTTTGCCATGCAAGTTAGTGGCTTTGCAAGAATGTAAAAACATTAATGTTATGTACTCTAGCAAACCCAATGTACCTTCTTGTCTATATAAATAAATCAAATAAATTTGCTCAGATCAAGTTAATAAATTTGTCTTAGTCACAAAAAACAAATTCCTAGATATATATAATAAAAAATACAAGCAATAAGCATATGAATTGGAAACACTTATGGCCTGGTATTGAGTTACTAGATCTTTTTAATACAGGGGGAGAAGGTGGTGGGCATAATCTCTTTGTTACCTGAGCAAAGTTGTTGGGAAAATCCTTTTCATCTTCGATGACATGAGCAAAACCCGGATCCATGGCAAAGTCGACAAAAAAGTAAGGAAGTCCCTTTGGTACTGCTCTGCGGACATCACGATTCTTTAAATCCACAAGCTTCTTGTTTTGGGACCATTCAGCTTCACACTCCATTATGGCTTTCTGATGATTAGATTTATATTACATATATGAAAATTCACTATATTAGAAGAAGCTGAATCTAGGACAAAATTAGATACGTTAAGTTAAAAAATATTGCAGCACTTGCCCAAATTCAAAATGAACAAAAACTGCAAAGGAGATCAAGTTTGTATTATTTGACTGCTTGCCACCTGCACTCCTGACTTAGTACCTAGGCCTTGCCTGATGCATCACATCTATCTTCCCCACACTTGGTGATTATATTGCCATAGAAACTGACAGAATATACAACGCTTGCCATGAAGGATGAACTTAGTAGATACTACAGATAAATGCTTCCTAAAGCAGCATGTAAGACACACAGCAAGAAGGGTAAAGGATGAACCAGCTACGGTAGAACTGATGACCCTCAAGAGTAAGGTGGATGTGAAGGGAATAAGACATGAGCTGCTGCTGGGAGCCAGTAACCACTGTATTAAATTGATTCACTACACTGATGAGTCAGATGTACATTATGCTGCACAAAACAGGAAACGTCGTCATTTCTCCATTTTCTTGTGTGTGGTTCAGTCATCAGATGTAAAGTAGTTGGACAGTGAACCAAAAACATTTTCTATCCAGCATTCCAGCCACAGTCTTTATTCTAACCCATCATCAAAATAAAGGTCCAGCAGGTTCACAGTACGTGTGTACAAAATACTGACTACCCTAATTGGTAATAGTCATTACTTTGTACAGTTGTCAATTTGAGTTCTATTAAACAGATTAAAAAATATGCTTCATAGTGTTATTTCAAGCATGTACTGTAAATTCTCCCTAAATCATTGTAACAAAAACACACTTGTGCATATAAACCAGCATTGAATGTAATGAAACGCCATTTTCTGGGTGAGACCCGGTGGCTCCCCAGAGCTATACTGGGCGGATGTGTGTATATTAGACCGTGGCAACAGTCAATCGATGGAGTTCTAGGCCTACCGGGGACCAGTGCCAGAACCTGGTCCCCCCCCCCCCCAGAGAGGCACCAGGAGCAGTGCCCTACAGACACCCCCATGTAGTTGGAAGCAGTCTATGTCTGCCATCTACCAGGTCCTTTCAGGCACCCAGAAAGATAAGAATTCCAAACCAAACTACAGCTTGTTAAAAATTGCAAACCGAAAGCCAAACTAGCAAGCAGAACTCCCTAATCGAAAACAAGCAAATAAGCAAGACGTACCTTGAGGTTACCTTGAGGTGCTAATGGGGCTTAGCGTCCCCACGGCCCGGTCGACGACCAGGCCTCCTGGTTGCTGAACTGATCAACCAGGCTGTTGGACGCGACTACTCGCAGCCTGACGTATGAGTTACAGCCTGGTTGATCAGGTATCCTTCGGACATCACCACAGCCACCGCACCGCTGTCTGCGTAATTCCCCCTTTCCTGGGAGGGGGGAGGGAGAAGTCCCAGACATCCCGCGCCGGCTACCCAACTCCAGTTCAGAGGCTGAACTGAACAAACCGAGAAGAAGAGAGAGAAGAGAGCACCCGGTCTAAAGACCAGGATGGCTCAGGCAGTGCATGAGCAGGCTGGAGGTGAAACAATGTCCGAGAAAGCTTGCAGAACAGAGTAGAAGTGACATCCACCCTGAACGCAAGCAGAATTGGCTCCACCAGCACCACACAATACGAGGTGACAGGATTCAGCATAATATGATGTCCCATTCAAGCACGTATTGGTGGCCCACTCCTTGGTCCGCCAAGGGGCCACCACAAACCGAGGGGAAGAGAGAAAAGAGAGCACCCGGTCTAAGGACCAGGACAGCTCAGGCAGCCCATGAGCAGGCTGGAGGTGAAATAAAGCACTAGTAAGCTTACGGAACAGAGCGGAAGTAACATCCACCCTGAAAGCAAGCTGGAGCAGCTCCGCCAGCGCAGCACAATAAAAGGCAACAGTATCTGGCATATAATGATGGCCCTGAAAAGCTAAGAAAGGACAAAATATCCGATCAGAAATAGAAGACGACCTATGAAGAGAGAGAAAATGGTGAAAAGATTGCCTGGAAACTTCATACTGTCGCCGAGATGAAGCTCTCAGGTGGAACACCATCAACAAAGCCACATGATCACAACACAAATGGTGATACACCTGCATCATAAACACCGATGCAAAGAGCAGAGGAGAAGACCGAACCAGCCAAGTACTGAACTGGAACGCCTGCAGAAACTAAGTAACAGCCGACTCCGCAAACAGCAATGGACAAAAAGGCGAAGAAAACCTAAGAGCCAGGGTCCAAGCAGATTCCAAGGAGAGATTAAGCACGGCCTGACGGCAGACAAGGTGAGAAGCAAAAAACAGAGACACTGCCTCCCTGAGAATTGCAGCAACAGTGCGACTGATGCCCTAGCAGTGGAAGCCAGCACCCCAGATGAAGGCCCTGGAGGCAACGACTCTACTTCCTCCCCCAAGCCAGTCCGAGGACAACTCGAGAAGGAAAAAACCAGCGTTGAATGTAATGAAACGCCATTTTCTGGGTGAGCCCCGGAGGCTCCCTGGAGCTTATCGGGCTAATGTATGTTATATTAGACCGGGACATTAGCTAAGGAGTTCAGACCTACCAAGGACCAGTGCCAGAACCTGGCCCCTTCAGAGAGGTTTCAGGGAGCAATGGTCCTGGAAAACCCCCTTGTGGTTGGGGTTTTCCTTATCTGCCATCGACCGGGGTTCGGCACACAGAAAGGTAGGCATAACAAAACAAACCCCACATGGTAAAAAACTAAAACAAAAAACCGAACAGAGAGGTAGAAACTCCCTACAATCCCAAGGAAACAAGCAAACATCACACTTTACTGCCGCGCCGGTCGTCCGCACAGCCCTCCCCGCCCCGAGAGGGGAAGGGGGGAACCCTGGACCTCACTGGGGATCCCCCCGGTGAGGTCCAGTTAGCTTCCAGTTAGCTTCCCCCAGTTAGCTTCTGAACTGCTGCCTAGCATCAGTTCGGAAGCTAAGCTTCAACCAATGCGAAAAAAATGCTGACCGGTGGGAGGGAGGGTTGCCAGGGAGCCTCCGGAGCTTACCCAGAAAATGGCATTTCATTACATTCAATGCTGGTTTTCTGTGCGGAGCCCCTATGGTTCCCTGGAGCTTCATACCCAAAGAGAAGGAATGTCAGGTCCATGGCAACAGTAGTTCCTTGTTTAAGGTTGCAGCTGAAATGCCACAGACTAATTTAAATACTGTAACCCCGCGATTATCCGGGATTCGAACATCCGAAAAACGCCCTTATACGGCCAAAATCGTGAACGGATAAAGTTATCACAATATCCGGCCAAAATAGCCACAGGGACCGGATTAAAGCAGGTTTTCTGCAGAAATTACACTATCCGGTCAGTCCCCAGATAATCGTGCCTTTGTCCGTATATGAAAACATGAGGCAGGCCATACGGTATTAATCCCGTCTGCCCGAGACTCGAGGCGCATGGTGTAGGTGGGGGTGGGGTGGGTGGGTGGTGTTGGGAGGGTGGGAGGGGTGCGTCAGGAGGGACTACCTGGGTACAGGAATTACCATTAATTTTAATTTTAGAACAATTAATCATAGCCAAAAACAAATAAAATAACTACTAGTAATTATGTAATAACAAATAAATAAGTTTCCTAAAAGCATTGTGCACAGGCTGAAGTTTCCTTCAAAAATATTGTGAATTTTTTTCCTCCTGGCGGCCTACGTAACGCTATGGCTGCCCCAAGTGGACCTGTCCAACACTGGTCAACCCATGTGCGTTCGTCCCTCGTGTTATACACAGTGCTGCGCCATTAGTGAAATATTTTTTTAAATAACTTTTTTATTTTCATAGTAACTTTGAACATTTTTGGCCAAGACTATGTCTGGTAGCAGCATCAATCGTTCTGGAGGTGTTAAGAGGAAGAAAGTTGTCCTAACAATTAAAGACAAGTCACAGTTATACGCCTCAACCAGTGCGGCCTCACAGTGTTGCGCCATTAGTGAAATATTTTTTTAAATAACTTTCTTAATTTTCATAGTAATTTTGAACATTTTTGGCCAAGAATATGTCTGGTAGCAGCATCAATCGTTCTGGAAGTGTTAAGAGGAAGAAGATTGTCCTAGCAATTAAAGACAAGTTACGTGTTGTTCAAACAGTGAGGCGTCACAGGCAGCCAAGCGCCTTCAACAAGTGAGGCGCCACAGGCAAGCCAAGCTCCTTCAACAAGTGAGGCATTATAGGCAAGCCAAGCGCTTTCAACAAGTGAGGCGTCACAGGCAAGCCAAGCGCTTTCAACAAGTGAGGCGCAAGCAAGCGCCTTTAACAAGTGAGGCATTATAGGTAAGCCAAGCGCTTTCAACAAGTGAGGCGCCACAGGCAAGCCAAGCGCCTTCAACAAGTGAGGGCATGCAAGCGCTTCAACAAGTGAGGTGCAAGCAAGCACCTTCAACAAGTGAGGCCTCACAGGCAACCCAAATGCCCTCAACCAGTGAGGCTTCAGCAGCTGGCAGTCAAAACTAACTTAGCTTAATGAACTGTACAGTAATTTTAAGTGTTAATTTTAGTGTTGTGTTAGTATAGGTTACGTAAATTGTTAAGAATTTTTAACTTCAAGATGTGTGGCATCAATCAAGAAGACGAACACCAACAAGGTAAGTTGAGGTTTCTAGTTGAATATTTAATAATGTATGTGGCAAGGCAATTCAAATTATGTTGTTACTAGTATAAAAATAGTTGGAAATGGTCACTTTTGGACTCGTAGGTGAAAAAGTACCATTATCCGAAAAATGTGATAATCCGGCTGGGGGTCCTTCCCATATAGTCCGGATGATCGAGTGGAGACAGTAGAAGCCATATTATTATCTCAATCATATTATCTTAAAACCTTTAACATGGAAACTCTTATACAAAAATATAGTACAGAGTCATACAATAAGACAAGGTGTACATAACTGAATAATCTTACCTTAAAGTAAATAGGAGCCATATCTCCCATTTCTTTTGGAAGAGGCACACAGTTGAGAGCCATGTGAGGATAGTACTTGAGTTTTTTAACAGTCTCGAAGAATATACAGTCCTCGTCCCGGGAGTTAAACATTTTTACTAAAGACTTGCGAAAATCCTGCGGAGAACGAGATTCTATAGTTCATATTTTAATGACGTGTCACATTATAAAGACTATTATGTGAATGATCTTCAGAATAAATGGCAAGCAGTATTAACGTGTACAGTACATTCTTTACACAAGAAACATACCTGGATTTCACTCCACAGATCTTCATCAGCTTGTACAGAAGAAGGAATATGATGGATTGAGACAATAAGGCAATGTCCAGGCGTGAGAGACTCATGAGGAGGGAGACACACGTATGACTATAAGAGATAAATATTAGACAAGTCATCAGTAAATTTGAACATCAAAATAGTGCAAGAAAAACTAGTAATATTGAGTACAAGAAATAAGAATTTTATACACTAACATTTATACACTCCATTCTCAACACTGAAGATCAGTCCATTAGAATACAGTACAGTACTCAATTAAATTTAACTTCAGCTTCTCTCTATACTAACTCTAGATTTACTCCAATAGGATTGGTCTCTGCAGCAGTGTTCATGGCAATAATCTATATTCATGAAAATTTCATGAGTTATGAACACTACCAAACACGTGGAACAAAACATAGTATATCTGCATCACAAATATTCATATAGTGACTTTATCTACATTCATTTCCAACAAATGTTCATACAAGGCTTTGACAGTACCTTATTACACCCTTAATCTCTTATTCATCAACATTTTCACCCTTCTTAACTGCAAGTCATATTACAAAAAACCAGCGATGAATGAAACACCATTTTCTGGGTGAACTCCGGAGGTTCCCTGAAGCTATCCGAAATGATGTAGTACCATATTAGTTGGGGTCATCAGTCACAGAGTACTTTGCCTACCGGGAACCACGAGCCAGAACCTGGCCCTCTCAGAGAGGCGCAGGGAGCAATGGCCTATGAGTACTTTACATTTAAAGTACTGTATGTCATAATTGCCATCGATTGGGAAAGGCATCCAGAAAGATAGCTGAAAGAAAACTGACTAGTCTGGTGAAAACTGCGAGCTACGTCCGGAAAGAGCAAAACAATTCCCCAAGAAATAAGACAAACAAGCACTCCCACTCATTAGCGGCATTCCTCCCCACCCGTACGGGGTGGGGGAGACGGCTCAGGTAAGCAGGCAACCCACCACACCAGTCCTTGAATTGATATGCTGGCAGTCAGTTTTTGCCCTGTGTGGCTGTTCTGGCTGTGTGTGGTGTTGTGGCCAGGTGTCTCAGTGTACTGGAGCTGAACTCTCTATGTACAGTACTGTACTACTCTTGCCTGGCAGGGTTATTTTTCCTGGGGAGTTAGGGTCTTACTACCCATTGAGGACTATTTCGCTTGAGGATTTCTTCGCCCTTGGAGTGCGTTGGGGTCTTGGGGCTTTCCGTCTTGCCCCGGGTAGTGTTTTTGGCTAGGGTGGGGCACAGCTTACTTTATTGCGGTGGCTGATGTTTCTCTCTGACTGCTAGTTTGCTAGTTGTGTGATTTCAGGGGTTTTATTTTTCCTTTTCTTACGTTTTCGCTTGTATGGACAGAAAAGGTCTGCTTAGCTACTTATTAGGCACGCCTAGGTTGTGTTGGTGGTTCACCTCTGTTGCCCCTGAGGTTTCACGTCTGCCAATGGTAGTCAGTTTGCTTTCTAAAAGACAGGGTTCTAATGGCTTAGCTGGCCCCAGTGCTGGGCTTCCCATAAGGCTTATATTCTCTACTGGGCCCTGGAAATCCCCAGTAGGATCGGTCGTACCATTGACACTTCTTCCAAGTCCATTCTCATCTTGTACGAAGTTGAAGGTTGTTCATCACACACAGAAATCACAATTGCGTGATGCATCAAATGAACAAATCCACAAGGGCCGTGACGAGGATTCGAACCTGCGTCCGAGAGCATCCCAGACGCTGCTTTAATCGACTGAGCTACAACATGGTCAAAAGGAGTTGAAACCGAAGTTCTATTGAACTTACTGGATCCTGCAGCCTCTCCGAGGCACAAACCAGGGTTTTACACAACTCCCCCCATGTACTCGAGCTATGTCAATAGGCCGTTCTTCTTTGACCATGTCTAAGAAGGGACAGAAGGAAAAAGGAAGCACCACCAAAAAAAAACCCACACTGCCGCCAAGAAGAAGCACGCAGGTGGGACACCATCAACGAAGTCACATGACCACCAACAGAAGGTGAGAGACTCAAGGCAGAACCGAACCAGCCCAACCATGGACCAATCGAGTCTAGGAAGAGGAGGAGCCACGGGAAGATCTCGGATGCAACCACCAAGCAAGTAGAGCCGGAACCCAAGCCGGCAAAAGAGGAGATGGAACGTCTGCCGAACAGAAAAACTTCCCAACGCCAGCGAGCTAGCCAGGAGATTGGAGACTACGGTTCCAATGTGAGACTCTAGAGAAGGGACACTGTGAGACCTAGAAAATGCCAATAGGCAGGGTAAGCCAGGAAAACAGGAACCCAAACTCTGCAATAGGAGAGCCAAAAGGCACAAACAAAACACACAACAGTGTGTAGGATAAAACAATAACAAGACCAGAACAGTCCCAGTACCAGCAGCTAAGGACCAGAGTGGACCAGGAAGATGAGGAACAAAGAAGGTAGGCAGCAAATGGGAACGAAAGGGACACGATCAACACATAGAGCTGCAGGTCATGTCCCAACAAGTCACGCCAACAACACACAGAGTTGTAGGTCCTGTCCCAACAAGATGAAACTGAAAAAAGTGCAAAGGTTTGCCACCAGACTAGTACCCAAACCAAGGGGTACGAGCGACGAAGAGAGACTACGGGAATTAAACCTCACGCCACTGGGAGACAGAACAGCCAGAGGGGACATGACCACCTCATTCAAGAACCTCAAAGGAATTGAAAGGGTAGAGAAAGATAGACTATTAAACACAAGGGGCACACGCACCAGGAGACACAGGCGGAATTGAGTGCCGAAAAGAGCCACAGAAACGTTAGAAAGAAGTATTTCAGTGTCAGAGTAGTAGACAAATGGAATGCATGAGGAAGGGAAGTGGTGGTGGCTGACTCCACACACAGCTGCAAGTGTAGACATGACAAGAGCCCAGTAGGCTCAGGAACCCGTACACAAGTCGAATGACAGGCGAGAGGTGGGACCAAAAAGCCAGAGCACAACTCCCACAAACCCAACTAGGTAAGTACAACTAGGTGAGGACAGAGGCCATGTAGATGGTAGGTGAGTGACATGACTAAAGAGCCAAAGCTCAAACCCCACAAGCACAACTAGGTGAGGACAACTAGGGGAGTACAGACAATCCAATGTACATGGAAGGGACAACCACTCCCGGCTCACACACCACCTACAAGACAGTCACCACACACTAGGTACAGTGCTGTAACTACCACTGGAGCCAGAGCACACGACCTCAGCCTCTAGCATCAGCCTTAGAACTGACAGGTGGATGGTCGGCATGGTGGTCTGGGGCTCCCCCTTCCCCCTCCCGGGGAGGGGGGGAGCTGCACAGACAGTGGCGTGGTGACATGTGACGTCATGCTTGTTTGCTCGTTTCTTTTTGGCAAGTTCTATCCACTTGTTCGGCTTTAGGTAGCAATTTTCACCAGCATAGGGGGTTTGTTTTGGGACGCTTACCTTTCTGGGTGCCTGACCCGGTCGATGGCAGACATAGAATGCTTCCAACCACACGAGGGTTTCTATAGGCCATTGCTCCCTATGCCTCTCTAAGGGGGACAGGTTCTGGCTCATGGTCCCTGGTAGGCCCCCAGAACTCTATACACATGACTGATGCCAAAACCTGACATTAGCATATCAGCCTGGAAATCTCCGGGAAGCCGGAGGGGCTCCCCCCAGAAATTATGAGTAAAAGGTCACAGTATTATTGCTAAATGCATTCATAAGAATGGTCCTTGACCATCATTTTTCCTTTGTCTATACAGTACTAAGTTAAATAATCAATACAAATACATACCTTACTTCCTAAAGCAACAATTAAATGTTTTGGCATATCTTTGCTATCAAAACACCATTGGCATGACTCCATTGAGCGCTCAGAACGTTTGTGTTCCTGGAAAGTGCAAACTATATAAATTTTTATAAGACAAGTAATATATCACTAACGTATATATACAGTATATATATATATATATATATATATATATATATATATATATATATATATATATATATATATATATATATATATATATATATATATATATATATGTCGTACCTAGTAGCCAGAACGCAATTCTCAGCCTACTATGCAAGGCCCAATTTGCCTAATAAGCCAAGTTTTCATGAATTAATTGTTTTTCGACTACCTAACCTACCTAACCTAACCTAACCTAACTTTTTCGGCTACCTAACGTAACCTAACCTATAAAGATAGGTTAGGTTAGGTTAGGTTTAAAAAAATTACGTCATACATAATGAAATGGGTAGCTTTATCATTTCATAAGAAAAATTCAGGAAAACTTGGCTTATTAGGCAAATCGGGCCTTACATAGTAGGCTGAGAAGTGCGTTCTGGCTATTAGGTACGACATATATATATATATATATATATATATATATATATATATATGTCGTACCTAGTAGCCAGAACGCACTTCTCTGCCTACTATGCAAGGCCCGATTTGCCTAATAAGCCAAGTTTTACAGAATTAATATATTTTCTCTATTTTTTTTCTTATGAAATGATGAAGCTACCCATTTCATTATGTATGAGGTCAATTTTTTTTTATTGGAGTTAAAATTAACGTAGATATATGACAGAACCTAACCAACCCTACCTAACCTAACCTAACCTATCTTTATAGGTTAGGTTAGGTTAGGTAGCCGAAAAAGTTGGGTTAGGTTAGGTTAGGTAGGTTAGGTAGTCGAAAAACAATTTATTCATGAAAACTTGGCTTATTAGGCAAATTGGGCCATGTATTGTAGGCTGAGAAGTGCGTTCTGGCTACTAGGTACGACATATATATATATATATATATATATATATATATATATATATATATATATATATATATATATATATATATATATATATATATATATATATATATATATATATATATATATATATATATATTTATATATATTATATATATATATTACATATAATATATATATATAATGTATATGTATGTATGAGTTGTAGTTATATATGTAGTTATGAGCTGTGTGTAAAATATTTTCATTCATAAATAGGGGATTAATGATCATTAGGCCCTTGCTGATGAGGCTGGCTTCCAGAATCTCAGACCATCCTCCTAAAATGACAACACTGTACTTATAGTAACCATTTGATCACATTATTGAATTAGCCTAAATGGCATTGTAAAAATTGGAAGTGTAACTACCGGTAAAGAACCAACCTAACCTGTTCAAGCAACTTTAGGCTTAATATGGCATCTTAGGCATAATATAATATATATGTTATACTAGGCCTAGGAATTCCATTCACCTGGACTGTATGGGTCTCTAACCGTGGACCCCATGTGTGTGAGACCGTAGCACTATCAACTAGACTATGAACAGTCTTAAAAACCCATACAGTCCAGGTGAATGGAATGTTTATTTCCATGGAAATGTTGATGTTTAAGTTTGGTTTTTGGCTTTTTGTCATGCCCATTACAAAATTAATATTAAAAAATTTGAATTTTTGGGGTCCAGCAGTCCAGTTTATATGTTCAACCAAGTGGTATAATTGCTATAATTTTAGAAGGATGGGCTGCAGAGTCTTGCTGTCTCATAGTAGAATGTGGCTTTCTCAGGTCATCCATAATTCGGTTCAGCCGACCTAATATGTATCTCCGTACTCATGATGTTTGGAAGTATGATGCCATTACTGCATTCTTTGCTAATACTACATGTCCATGACTAATCTTTAGGCTCAGGGTTTTTGGCAATCTACTGGGTGTTGGCTGCTCATTACCTATTGGGTGTTCCTCATCCTCACCACACTAGTGCGACTTTTGGGCATTTTCCAGCCACTAAACTGCTTCTTCTTCAAACTCTGACGGGCGAGTCCTTTCCGTCTTTGTTCTTTAATTAATACGTTTCTTTACAGCAAAGCTGGCTTCCTCTGCCAGGCAGTCATAAGTATGCACCAATGAGTCAGGTCAAAAATTAGGCATTGAATGTAATACACTGTAATGCCCTTTTCTGGGCTGCCTTCAATACTGCCGGTCCCATTACCTGCCTTTCATTGCCCTTTTTGACCTAGGGGTATATGGTGCAGTTTGACCTCAGCTAGCACCTGGTGGCAAGTATGGATACTGGCATGTTAAGAATTTGCGCCCAATCCCAGCCAGGTAAATCCTCCCCGGCCAGGATATGAACCCATGATAAAGCGCTGGCGGAACGCCAGACGAGTGTCTTACCACTACACCATAGAGACATTAGCCCGATAAACTCCAAGGAGCCGTAGGGGCTCCCCTCAGAAAAACATAAATGCTTTATTACAAAACTTCACATGGTATTGTTTAACCAAGAGTAATGAGAGTATGGTGTTTCTTTCCATCATTGCACGAGTTTAGGAAATTTGGTTTGACAATGGTTATAAATTTTGTATATTTTGTTCAGTACTGTAGCTCTCACGGTTTTAACCCCCGATTTTTTTCAAATGGTTCTAAAATCTGCCACCAGGGAGGAGTTAAGTGGCCCAATAGAAATGGAGTAATCCTTGCACCATCATATGTAAGTCTGTAAAGTTTCATATTGATATATAAAGGCCAGATTATGCAAGGTTGCCAGATTATGCAAGGCAACCAAAAATTGTGAAATTAAAACTCAAAAATTTTATGAAAACCATAAGGTATCCCATCCCTACCAGAGATACCTAATTCAAATTGTGGGACTAAAATAATTAAATTTTGTGAAAAATTTCACAAAACTTAAAAAATAAATATCCTTTAAATTCCAGTGCAGGTTATAAAAGCTAATATTAATATCAGAATAACAACTATCTTTGTAATGCATACCTGTATAGCTTTAAGTCTGTCTCTCTCGGCTTGTTTGGCAGCCGTGTCTTTGAGTGCCACCTTGCTCATGAACATGTCATCCATGTCGTAGTCATCGTTGAGCCGTTCACTGTTCTTCATGGCTGCTTGCTCAAACATGGAATTTTGATCATCAGCCGATGTTCCCTTTTCTCTCTCAAACTGTACAAAAAGTACATAAACTTGTACACAGGAACTTTTATCTCCATGAGGCATGCAAGGGGAAGGGTACTATCAGGAGAAATTGCCAAGCCATAATGATTATATAGCACTTGGAAGGGATCAGGATGAAGATTTAGGATAGGACAGAGGGAAAGGAATGGTTTCAAACAAGCTAGACGGTCGGGGATTGAGCGCCAACCTGCATGATGCGAGACTGTCACTCTACTGTCCAGTCTAAGTGGGGCTCCAAGAGGCATGCAACCATGGTATAGTATTATTACCTTCCACCAGTTACACATACAAAAAATAGAATATGAATAGTATGTGCAATTATTTTGATGTGAATACAATATACTGGTCTTCATGCATAAATTTACTTAGCCCCAACCCCTTCAAATATTGAATTAAACCATTATGAATGCAGAAAATAAATACAGTACTGAAAATATGGTTGATTCACAAAAATACAGAAACAGCTACTTTGATGGCTTTCTATGTTTTAACACTGACCATGCGCTTGAGATCATGCTGATCATCATCTGGGAAGTACCGGGTTCGTTTACCATCTTGCCCATGAGTTTTGATTTGTTTTCTTCTCCCAACTCCAGCTTCTTGATCTGCTCCAGATATAGGTCTGCATCCACCTACAAATTAAAATAAATACACTATAAAACTATATGCTATGCCATATTTGTGGACTAAGCCACAGCTATCCAGGCTGATAAGGATATCCCTAATTTTGGCATCAGTCGATGTGGGTGGAGTTCTAGGCCTACCGGGGACCACGAACCAGAACCTGGCCCCCTCAGAGAGGCACAAGGACAAGGACTGGAAGGAGGGAGGGTTACTGGGGAGCCTCCGGGACTTGCACAGAAAATAACATTTCATTACATTCAACGCTGGTCTTCTGGGGAGGAGTCTCTACAGCTTCCCAGAGCTACTTCACCAACGACTAAAAAGAAATAAAGGGACTTACTAAGGAGACCGTCGATGCAACACATCTCAACTCGAAGTCGAGACAAGCTGCAGCCGCCGACCCAAAGCGACACAGGGCCGACTAGGCCCAGGAACATTAACGAGGTAGCGTGTAGCCAAGACCCTGTTCGACCGCCAAAAACCCTGCGCCCGATTGTCAGCCAAGAACACGTTACCAAAGGCGGCAGCAAGAGCAGCAAACTTACGAACGTCATAGGCATGGGGATAGACCCCAGGGAGGCTAGACTTATTAACCCTGCAGACGACCTGAGAGACCCGTACCTGCGCACAGGGAAGAAGGAAACTGGATGAACCCAAAGCGCGTCCACGGACACAAAAGCCGTGGCACACGGTTGTGTGGTGCCCATATCTTAAGAAGCACAACAACAAACTGGAAAAGGTGCAAAGACATACTGTACTACTAAGTGGATCCCAGAACTGAAGGACAAGAGCTACGAGGAGAGGTTAGGGGCATTAAATATGCCAAAACTAGAAGACAGAAGAAAGAGAGGTGATATGATCACTACATACAAAATAGTAACAGGAATTGATAAAATCGATAGGGAAGATTCCCGAGACCTGGAACTTTAAGAACAAGAGGTCATAGATTTAAACTAGCTAAACACAGATGCCAAAGAAATATAAGAAAATTCACTTTCGCAAACAGAGTGGTAGACGGATGGAACAAGTTAGGTGAGGTGGTGGTGGAGGCCAAGACCGTCAGTAGTTTCAAAAGCGTTATATGACAAAGAGTGCTGGGAAGACGGGACACCACGAGCGTAGCAGCTCCCCCTTCCCCCTCCCGGGGAGAGGGGAGCTGCACCGACAGCGGCGCGGTGACATATGATGTCATGCTAGTTTGCTCGTTTCTTTTTGGGGAGTTCTATTCACTAGTTCGGCGTTAGGTAACAATTTTAATCAGAATAGGGGTTTGTTTTGGGACGCTTACCTTTCTGGGTGCCCAACCCGGTCGATGGCAAACATAGAATGCTTCCAACCACACAGGGATTTCTATAGGCCATTGCTCCCCTTGCGTCGCTGAGGGGGCCAGGTTCTGGCTCGTGGTCCCCGGTAGGCCACAGAACTCCATACACATGACTGATGCCAAAGTCTGACATTAGCATATCAGCCTGTATAGCTCTGGGGAGCCAACAGGGCTCCCCCCAGAAAAAAGAGTTAATATGATCACCACTTACAAAATACTAACATGAATCAACCAAATTGACAAAGAGGAATTCCTGAAACCATCAACTTCATGAACAGGAGGACATAGATTCAAGCTAAGAAAACAAAAGTGCCAAAAAAATATCAGAAAGTTTTCTTTTACAAACAATGGTAGATGGTTGGAACAAGCTAAGTGAGAATGTGGTGGAGGTCAAAACCGTAAGTAGTTTCAAAACGTTATACGACAAAGAGTGCTGGGAAGATGGGACACCACGAGCGTAGTTTCCATCCTGTAACTACACTTAGGTAATTACCCAGTGCCAGTAATTGTTGCCCTAGGCTAAGGTAGCAGAGGATCCTGAAAGAACAGTCAATGTCCATTAGGCAACCCACTGCTGACTAAACAGAACAAAAACAAAAAAAACACAAAACTTGGAAACACACTATCTGAATGATTTCTTGCAGTGCTCCCCAGTACTAGTATAGCCCTACATTGATGTTTTAAAAGTTCCTTGTTTTGCCAATACCTCAAATGTTGCCCTGCTTCACTATATATATCACTCCTGAATACACAGCATAATCTTATTTTAGGAACAACCGAGTGAGATAGCTCAGAAATAGTTAATACGTTCTGGGCTTATTGTATACCGTTAGATCACGACAAGTGAATAAAGCCAATACTTGTAAACCAGTAAAGCAATTATAGAACTTTTTCTTAAGTTTTATTTATCCCCATGAGTACAAAACAGTAATACAGTAAAATTCTAAATAAAGTATGGTGTATGAACTAAAAATAATTAATCAAATTAGTCAAGAGTGAGATGTGGCTCGCAGAACAGTAAGAGATAGGACAACCAACCTTCTAACTGTATCTCAGAATATCTTACCTTTGGTATCCATCCTGGTTAGGACAACTATCTGTTCTGTGGTCTGGTCTCCACTTTCCTTAGTGCCCTCTCCAAAAGCTGAACCACTGGCCCGAGCAGCCCTAGCAGCTTCCAGTTTGGTTTTCAATTTATTTGCCTGGACCTGCAGCAAAACAAATCAAATGTTATACAGTAAATAAGATACGTAAAAGCCACAAAGAGCATATACTTTACCATAAATGCATGTTATAAGATGGCCAAACAAAAGATATATAAATCAAATCTGATTTTAAAAACCAGTGTTGAACATAATGCAATGTCTCTTTCTGGAGGACCTCAATGACTCCTTGTAGCTAGCCACACTTGGATACATCACACACCAGGGAAAGCACCAGGAGTCAACCTGCACAAGGCTCCAGGATAAATCCAATTGCCTAAGTATTGGGAGCAAGGTGATGGCTGTAAGTTGTTTCCCAGAATACATGAATGTGTACAGAATTTGAAAAGTAACTAAGAGATAAGAAATAAGTGTGAGCGAGTGAAAAATTTGGGTTGGAAAAGTTGATATTCCAAAACAGAAGAATGTCAACAACAAAGATGGCCACCACCACATGGAAGGACAGCACACCAACAGATGAATGTTTTGAAGGCTTCTCAGCTCAAGATATAATGAAAGGTGGTTGTCTTGGCAGGTTAGTCATTATTAAGGACCTGCCAAAGAATTATGAAGAAAAGGTAATTAAATTAGAACAAGAAAATGAAGGTATCAAGATTGAGTTTGATAATACAATAGGAAGTATTTTCCAGCAAGGTCAGGAAATTACGAGCTTGACTGATAAGGTAAAGATACAAGAGGCACACATCAAGGAACTAGTGAAAGATAATGAGGCATGGAAAGTGAAGAATGGATCGAACCCAGAACCTCAGGACTACAAATCCCGAGCGCTGTCCACTCGGTTGTCAGGCCTCTTTTGTCAGCTTAGCAACTTCTTTAATGAATTTGATTGGAAAAGCTTGTTGTTAGGCAAGACATGTATGTCAAGTTTAGTGAGCTATATGATAAAGGTACAGAAAACCAGTGCTGAATGTAATGAAATGCCATTTTCTGGGTGAGACCCAGAGGCTCCCCTGGGTGAGACCTGGGGCTTCCCCTTCCCGGGAAGGGGGTGGGTTGCGCAGACAGCAGCACAGCACCGTGGTGATGTCATGCTCATTTGCTAGTTTTCTTTTGGGGAGTTCTGTCCACTAGTTTGGCTTTCAGTAGCAATGATAACCAAAATAGTGGTTTGTTTTGGGGGCTTACCTTTCTGGATGCCTGACCCATCAATGGCAGATTTACAGTCTCCGTGGTGTAGTAGTAAGACACTCGCCTGGCGTTCCGCGAGCACTCTATCATGGGTTCGTAGCCTGGCCGGGGAGGATTTACTGGGCACAAATCCTTAACTGTAGCCTCTGTTTAACGCAACAGTAAAATGTGTACTTGGTTGTAACAACGATTTTTTGCGGTGGAGATCGTGTTCCAAGGACCTGCCCGAAACGCTAGGCGTACTAGTGGCTGTACAAGAATGTAACAACTCTTGCATATACTGTCTCCACTCGATCATCCGGACTATATGGGAAGGACCCCCAGCCGGATTATCACATTTTTCGGATAATGGTACTTTTTCACCTACGAGTCCAAAAGTGACCATTTCCAACTATTTTTATACTACAAATAACATAATTTGAATTGCCTTGCCACATATAATTATTAAATATTCAACTAGAAACCTCAGCTTACCTTATCGGTGTTCGTCTTCTTGATTGATGCCACACATCTTGAAGTTAAGAACTCTTAACAATTTACGTAGCCTATACTAACACAACACTAAAATTAACACTTAAAATTACTGTACAGTTCATTAAGCAAAGTTAGTTTTGACTGCCAGCTGCTGAAGATTCACTGGTTGAAGGCATTTGGGTTGCCTGCGAGGCCTCACTTGTTGAAGGCGCTTGCTTGCGCCTCACTTGTTGAAGCGCTTGCATGCCCTCACTCGTTGAAGGCGCTTGGCTTGCCTGTGATGCCTCACTTGTTAAAGGCGCTTGGCTTGCCTGTGGCGCCTCACTTGTTGAAGGCGCTTGGCTTGCCTGTGGCGCCTCACTTGTTGAAGGCGCTTGGCTTGCCTGTGGCGCCTCACTTGCTGAATGCACTTGGCTTGCCTGTGGCGCCTCACTTGTTGAAGGCACTTGGCTTGCCTGTAAATCTCACTTGTTGAAGGCGCTTGGCTTGCCTGTGGCAACTCACTTGTTGAAGGCATTTGGCTGCCTGCGACGCCTCACTGGTTGAACAACACGTAACTTGTCTTTAATTGTTAGGACAACTTTCTTCCTCTTAACACCTCCAGAACGATTGATGCTGCTACCAGACATAGTCTTGGCCAAAAATGTTCAAAGTTACTATGAAAATAAAAAAGTTATTTAAAAAAATATTTCACTAATGGCGCAGCACTGTGTATAACACGAGGGACGGATGCACATCGGTTGACTAGTGTTGGACAGGTCCACTTGGGGCAGGGCAGCTATAGCACATTACATAGGCCACCAGGAGGAAAAAACTCACAATATTTTTTAAGGAAACTTCAGCCTGTACACATTGCTTTTAGGAAACTTATTTATTTGTTATTACATAATTACTAGTACTTATTTCATTTGTTTTTGGCTATGATTAATTGTTCTAAAATTAATGTTAATTCCTGTACCTAGGTGGTCCCCTCCCGACGCACCACTCCCACCCTCTCCTCCACCATGCGTCTAGAGCCACAGACGGGATTAATACAGTATGGCCAAATTTTCATCCGGCCAAACCAGCTTTTATCCGGTTCCTGTAGCTATATTGGCCGGATATTGTGATAACTTTATCCCATCACGATTTTGGCCATATAAGGGCATTTTCCGGATGTTTGAATCCCGGATAATCGCGGAGTTACAGTATCTTAAAAAAAAAAAAAAAAAAAAAAAAAATATAGAATGCTTCCAACCACACAGGGGGTTCTATAGGCCATAGCTCCTCCTACCTCTCTGAGGGGGCCAGGTTCTGGGTCGTGGTCCCTGGTAGGCCTTGAACTCCATGCACATTGATTGATGTCAAAGTCTAATATATCCACATCAGCCTGGATAGCTCCGGGGAGCTGCAGACGCTCCCCCAGAAAGATTTATAGGAAAACAGAGATGCAGAACTAGAAAACAGGATTAGTTTAACAAAAATTGTGAGATGGCCAGAGAAATAGACACAACATGGAATCACTATAGCAAGAGGCCAAACCCTTCTAACATACCACCAATGCAAAGAAGTAAGAAACTATTACACGGCAGTAAGAAGAGAAGCAGAAAAATTTTTTGAGGAAGAGATAGTGGAAAAAATGTAAAGCAGAACCAGGCCTATTCTATAAATTTATGGGAAGCAAATTGCAGGTAAGAGATAAAATTTAGAGTTTGAAAATGAGGAACAGATTCATGGAGAATGGAAAGGAAATGAGTTATTCCATTTCCATTTCAACAACTTTTAAAACTCACATCATTTCCAATCAGTTCAGCTTTCATAATCTTCGCAGCAAGCTCATTCATTTCCTTATCTGTTAGCAGGTGAGCAGGTGGCTGGGGCGATGCTGGTGGTTGTGCTGGCACATCAACACTGTTTATTGGGGCTTCCCTTTCCAAAGTCCTTTGTCTACCTTTTGATGATTCCTGTGTAACACTTAAAAGACTTAGAAAAAAATCTAGATTTAAATTTTTAGATTTAAAAAAAGTAATAGCATTACAGAAAATACAAAATAAATCTGCATATAAATACATATAAATATAAAAATATACACATTATATATTTTTAATATACACTGTATAAGGGGGTACCACCACTAGTTGTGCTTGTAGGGACCCTTAGCCTTGAACAAGAGGATATACAGTACCTGAGGAAGCCAAGAAGGTTGAAATAAAACCAGCGTTGAATGTAATGAAATGCCATTATCTGGGTGAGCCCCGTAGGCTCCCTGGAGCTTATCGGGCTAATGTATGTTATATTAGACCGGGACATTAGCTAAGGAGTTCAGACCTACCAGGGACCAGCACCAGAACCTGGCCCCTTCAGAGAGGTTTCAGGGAGCAATGGCCCTGGAAAACCCTCTTGTGGTTGGGGTTTTCCTTATCTGCCATTGACCGGGGTTAGGCACCCAGAAAGGTAGGCATAACAAAATAAACCCCACATGGTAAAAAAATAAAACAAAAACCGAACAGAGGTACAGAACTCCCTACAATCCCAAGGAAACAAGCAATTATCACAATTTACTGCCGCGCCGGTTGTCCGCGGAGCCCTCCCCTCCCAGGGTGGGGACCGGTGTGGTTCGGGACCATAACACGCTGGCTACCTTCAGTTCGGAAACTAGGCTTCAACTAACACAAAAAAAACGCCGACTGGTGGGAGGGAGGGCTGCCAGGGAGCCTCCGAGGCTCACCCAGAAAATGGCGTTTCATTACATTCAACGCTGGTTATCTGTGGGGAGCCCCTATGGCTCCCTGGAGCTACATACCCAAAGAGAAGAAAAATAGGGACTTACCCGGGAGGCGGCAGCCACAAACTCCTCAACGCGAAGTCGAAACAACTGGCTGCAACCTGCGACCCAAAGCAACACAAGAACGCCGAGGAGCAGGAACGTTCACCAAATATCGGGCAACCTGGACTCTATTCAACTTTCAAAATCCACGCGCCCGAATACGAGTCCAAGACATGTTACCAAACACGGCAAAATGAGCTGCATACTTCCGAACGTCGTGGGCACGAGGATAGACCTCAGGCTGACTAGACTTTAATAACCTTGCGGGCAACCTGGGAGACCCAACGAGGAAAATTGGATCAACCCAAAGCGCATCCCAAGCCACTCCAGCTGAGGCGCGCCCCCACAGAAAAACAGAATGAACTATATGAATTAATAGGGTATTTATATATTCAGTAGTCCCATTTAATAAGGTACAAAGTCATAAATCCAAATTACCTCTTCTAAATCACTTAATTCTGAGGATGATGATGATGATGATGACTTCTGTTGTGATTGTACTTCGCGTTCTTTTAACGCTTGTTTATATTCTGTTTTCTGCCATCCACGGTTGCTTGTGGAAAATTTCTTAGCATTCACACTACTTGGTGATCTGAAAGTTGAGAAAACTCAGTTAAATCATTATAACTGTACCATATTACACCTTAACACTTTCGTGTTCCTGGCGCACGCGCCTGAACCCACCCCAAAGTGGGTTCGGCGATTCGTACTCGTCCCCGCAATTCCTGGGACATGTATACCCTTTCCAGTGTTCCGAGCTCAATTTTCGAGCTACATCATTCATTTTGGTATCAAATTCTTTGCAATTTGCAATTGTTTAAAAGACACCCATTTTAAAACTAGTTCTATAATAATCGAGCAATAAATAGAGTTTTAACAAATATTTTAATTTTTGATGCTCATCACCACAAAAGTATTCATAAACTTTACAGTGTTCTGACCTCAATTGTCATGCTATGTCGTCCATTATGGTATCAAATTGTGCACAGTCTAAAGGTGCCTAATATAAAACCAGTACCAGAATGATTGGATAAAAGTTAGAATTTTGACAAATATTTTAATTTACGACGAAATATTCGTGACTGGTGTACATCCGTGAGAAAAAAATTTGCTGCACTATGCGTGATCACCGGGTGAAAGTGTAAATCTGCATACTGGTTGTGTACCCAACACCAGCTCATGGAGAACATCGGTAAAGGTTGAAAGTATTCAAACCTGTATATTGTTGATAAAGTATATTTACAGTGTTCATGTTTTGTATATTCAATCTTCAACAGCCAGTTGCTTTTGTGTATTTTCTTTATGTGTTATAATGCAATGGTTTACAACAATTTTCCGAAGTTATCAAGATATAACTGCAAGAATTATACTATATCAATGTTTAAAGGAGGTAAACTTTGATCATCAGCCTGAATGTAAACCTTGTCACTTTGTTTTTAAATTGGCAAGAAAGTTTCAGACATTCTTGAGCAGTTTTAATGTACAATTAGAACATTAATAACTATTTGTTATTTTTTTTTCATAGTTAAATTCATTATTATTAGTCCATCAATCTGAAGAGAATATGGAGAGCAATGTAGTTGTGCAATACTGTACTGGAGAATGCAGATTTAGTGGTACCCACTCTTATACCAAATTCTGATGTAATTACCAAATTACCAAAAGAAATTACACCATCTAGCTCATATCTTGTAACTCTATCATCATTACCTAGCCACATTACCAGCATTGAATGTAATGAAACACCATTTTTTGGGTGAACCCCAAAGGGTTCCCAGAGCTTACCGGGCTAATATGTATGTATTAGATTGTGGCATCGGTCAATTGGAATTCTTGCCTACCGGGGACCACAAGCCAGAACCTGGCCCTCTCAGGAAGGTATGAGGAGCAATGGCCTATGGAAACCCCCTTGTATTTGGAAGCATTTCACGTCTGCCATCGAATGTGGTCTGGCACCCAGAAGGGTAGGTGTAACAATACAAACCCCACACGGGAAAAATCACTACTAAAACCCCAACAGGTAAAACTATAGGTAAGATAGGTAAAACTCCCAAACTAAAACAAGCAAACATCACTAACCCCGTCGTGCCAATCATCTGCACAGCCTCTCCCCCCCCTTCAGCTGCGGTCGGGCTCGGCCTTCCCCCCTTCCTCGATGGCCGCTACAGTCTAAAACTAACTACAGTAACGTTAAAATTAACGACGGCTGAGCATCTAAAACTAACAAGAAAAAACTACCGACCGAAGGGAAGAAGTGTGTCGGGCATTCAACGCTGGATTTCTGTGGGGAGCCCCTACGGCTCCCCGGAGTTACCTAACCTAATAAAAGTGAGAAGAAGGACTTACCTTACACGACCCAGGTGAGACATCTGAATACGTGAGGTGCCAGATTCAGGCGAAATGTAAGGCAACGAAAGTGGAAAGCTTGCCGCCCTAACACAAAACCTAATCAGTCCCTGAACCCCGGATGAATCGGGACGTGCCAATACGCATCCCAGAGATCCAAGACATCATCCAAGCACCTGGCTCCAAGAGAAGCCAGACCTGGTACAGAGTAGTCATCTGAAAAGAGGAGCAAAAGATCAAGGGGTTCAGACAGAACAAGTCCAGAATGAACCTCAGATCCGCACACAAGACTGGAAACAAGCGGGAAACCACCTGAGGGATGTGGTCATTTCGACCATGCGAAATGAATGATGTGGTGTGCCACATCCACATCCCACTCTGAGATGACCTGACAGAGAGTAGGGGAAGAGGCCTGCCGCGCCAGCCCCGAACACCCTTGGAGGAGGAGGACGAGGAGGAGGAGGAGCCACCCAATGCCACCAGAGGCCAGAATGTTTGTTGTTGTTTAAGATTTGCTACCTGGAACAAAAAGCTCCAAGTAGCACAAGCTATGGTGAGCCCGTGAAGAGACAACCCGACAAAAGACAACTTCCTTGAGAATTGGCGCAAACTTCAACAAGGAAGCCAATGCCTTAGCCGCTGAGGAAAGCGCACGAGGCAAAGACCCAGCACCCAGCGCATCCACATCCTCCTCAAGCGAGTCTGAGGACAGCTCAAGAAAGGAAAAGAAACGCAATACAGAGGCCAAATACCCATGGGCGCGCAAATCCTCAGCTACCAAAGCAGCCGAAAATGTGGGAACCTGCACGTGAAGCTACACAACGCCAACATCCTGAGGAAGCATAGGGGGCAAACAAGCACGCGTTAAGGCATCCAAACTCACCCCCCCCCCCCCAGGTAAATCTGTACCACAGTGGAAGCCTCCCACCAATCAAGCGTGCGGGTCCGACAGAACCCATGCCATGCTCCCAACGAAAAGTCTGCTAACCAGGAAGACTCTGGTACCTCGTAACGTGCCCAATAGGGAAAGGTCAAACCAAACTCAATGAAGAAGCTGAAAACCTCCCAAAGGAAGGAATTGAAGAACCCAGGGGAAACCCGGAACCGAACCTGAGGAGGAGCTGAACCCAAATCATACTCGTACAGGAAAGGAGGGTATAAAAAACCCTCACCTGCAACAACAAGACCCACGACGAGCATACCAACACCCAAGCAGGGTCAAATAGGACCCAGCCCCCCCCCCCCCCCGCAAGTCGTCAACTCCCCAGCCTGGGATCCTCCACGCCAGGACCCTGGGCAGAGCTGTCCTCCACACCCTCTGCCCCTAAAGGAAAGGCAGAGTCCAGTGTAAAGGTCGAGAAGAAGTGGGTCTGCTGGTAAGACCCAGAAGCCTCGACAGGAGCAGCAGGCTCAAATGCCTCTGTCACCGACCCAGAAGGGGCAGTCCCTGAAGCCACCCAAGTTTCACTACCATCTAAACCCCGCCCCGACTCCAAAACTGTCAGACGTTTGGGAACCGGGAGCAGGTTATAGGACAACCAACACCAACAGGGGAAGGACTCTGGAGCGCGGACGAAACCAAAGTTAAAGCGACTAACGCCTCAAGTCCGAGTCCCCATAAACAAAGCAGGGCAGCCTCGGGGCATCCGGTAAGGCAACCAACCTAGCGCGTTGCAGCAACCGATATTGAGCATGCAATGCCGAAGCCGCCTGTACCTGAATACCAATATCAGAGGACTGGGTAAACTGGAGCACGAGCAAAGAACAAGACTCACAAGACTCCGGGTCTAGGGTGTCATTAAAACAATAGAGGCAGCATGACAGTGGCAAAATTGGCGAGTGTCACCCTGAGACAAGAGGACAGAACAACCATCAAACTCACACTCGGCAAGTAGGAACTCAGAAGACGCATCCATATTTCCAAAGAGCCCCAGTGGGATTTTCCAGGGCCCTTAGCCTGACTGCTAAGGGAAGCCTAGGCAAGGTATTGCTAACCAGTTAGACCCAAACTACCAAGAGAACTGCTAAAAACCTGAACCCATGTGACGTGTGCAAGCACGGGATTGGGGGGGGGGCCCTAGCGGAGGACCACCAATACAATAGAAGGTGGATAAACCAAACCCCCACCAGGCAAAACAAACAAAAATCAAGATAAAACCCTGCAAAAGCACATTGTCCCCATGAAGAACAGAATTGGCTGCAGTGAATAATGGGAGACAAGCTGCACAATACCTTGTGCCCCTACCAGCACTGATACCACTTCCTACCCAAGGCCAAACAGTGGTAACAATAACCCCCCCCTCCCCCAAATGCAGGCATATGCTGAGCAGTAAAAGACCCCTACAGAAGCAGTTCCGTAGGGGGTCAAAAATAAAGAAAATAAATATTTTATTAAATAAATAAAGAATTAAGAAAATTCACTTTTGTAAAGAGAGTGGTAGACGGTTGGAACAAGTTAGGTGAGAAGGTGGTGGAGGCTAAAACCGTCAGTAATTTCAAAGTGTTATATGACAAGGTGTGCTGGGAAGACAGACACCACGAGCATACCTCTCATTCTGTAACTATACTTAGATAATTACACATACATACATACATACATACATACATACATACATACATACATACATACATACATACATACATACATACATTACATACATACATATATATATATATATATATTACAGATTTTTTTTTAATTATATTGTAAACTTGAGAGGTTTACCTTGTCTCACTCTCATCTGGTCTTCTGAACTTTGATGATAACAATGAAGAATGTTTTGCTGGATAATTATCACCTGGGGGTCTCAAAAGATCTTTTACAGACCTGAAAATAAAGTCATAATTATAAAGGAAATCTTAATACAGCATTAAATAACATACCAATACAATTTCATTGATAGCAATTACCAAACAAGTTAACAGGTTATGTTGAAGCTTCCCCATGTACAAAGAACAGTTAAAAACCAGAATATTAAAGTTCTTTGCAAGATTGCCCAAACAAATCTTGCAAGCCTCCAGACATAACATCCTCAGCAACATGATACATTACCCTTCTTGAGGTTATCTTGAGATGATTTCGGGGCTTTTTAGTGTCCCCGCGGCCCGGTCCTCGACCAGGCCTCCACCCCCAGGAAGCAGACTGACAGCTGACTAACACCCAGGTACCTATTTTACTGCTAGGTAACAGGGGCATAGGGTGAAAGAAACTCTGCCCATTGTTTCTTGCTGGCGCCTGGGATCGAACCCAGGACCACAGGATCACAAGTCCAGCATGTTGTCCGCTCGGCCGACCGGCTCCCTCGTAGGCATTTTCAATATACATTACCTTTGCCCCTTCCCTGTCATTACATATACCAGTATGATACTGTAATTGCCTTTATACCACTCAAATACATTTTATGACAATTCATTCTCTCTATATATATATCAAGACTAATTTGTAATATATTGTTTTATTGCATTAATTACTCATTAGGCAATATAGTAAAAGTCACATTACTAGGCTGGAAAAATTACAAACAATTTAAGTTTGAATTTCAATTGAGGATGTAAAGTAAAATGACAAGTTGAATTACATGAACCTTTTATACAATAGATGTCAGACCAACAATGATACTTTTTAAGACTACTGGCCTCTAGGGTGTAATAGTGTTGCACACTAACAGCCCCCATTTTAAGTTGGAGGAATTGTTCACCTGGAGAGCATGCAAAGAGCTTTTACTACCAGAATTCATGCAATAAAGCATTTAAATTATTGAGCTCTATTCTTATCCTTCTCTCCAATGCCAGTTCCAACATCTTCAATATCCATTTATAACATACCTGCGGCTCTCGTTGCTTGGCCACTTATGTGGTTTAGCCTTGTCTTCACTGCAATTCTTACTATCACTATCACTACTTCTGCTGCTACTGCATCTTCTGCCTCTCCTCCTTTCCTTGCTCCTGCTCCTTTCTCTCTCTCTACTTTTACTTCGTTCCCTACTCTGTTTTCTATATTTTCTACTATTTTCTTCATAATATTCTTCCTCTTTGTTTCTGCTTCTCCTCTCTGTGTTGTGAGCACTTTGTCTTTCATTACTTTTACTTCTGTTTTTACTTCCAACTCTCTCTCTGCTTCTACTTCTGAATCTCTCTCTGCTTCTACTTCTTGTCCTTTTCATTCTCTGCCAGTTATCTGCTTGGTTCTTCTTCCCTCTTCCTTCTGCTTCAGCTAATAGTTCATGAAACTTTGCCAGTGACTGGAAATAAATAGATGCAAACTACTCATTAAAAACATTCATAAAGTTCATAAGTGCATGCTTATATCAATATAAACTTCATGATTAATGATTCAATTTATATGATCATTAACAAGATTAATAAATTTAAAAAAATTATATAATTTTACATACCATGGATGTGCAACAAATATTAAACATATGCAGTACTGTATACTAAATTACTGAATAATAGGTTACTGAATTTTTAAAGAAAACTATACAGGCCTAGTCAGAGACCGGGCCACAGGGACGTTGATCCCCATAATCAATGCAAGGTATGTATGGTATTGTATGCAAATATCCAAAACATGTTTTAAGTAATATCATAGGAAAATTGAAGCGCAAAATGAATAAAATGATTTCTGTGTCAGTACCACAGTCACTCACGTACAGGAACCACACAAGACACCATTCACTTCCAGCCTCTGTGGACTTTATACTCCACCATGACAAGGGAATTTTAAACTGTACTTGCCACGTATTTTGGGGTATGGACACAGTGGAGAAAATATCTGAATCCACCACCAATTGACCATCTCACTATAATACAAATGATACATCATACATATTAAACACAAACACGCCTTCAGCTGATAATTGAAAACCTAAGGAATACTGATAATCACCTGACAAACTGTCACTACAAAAAAAAATACCCTAACCCCCATCAAATGGGAACACCATTTACCATAATAGGGTAGGAAAAGCCACATAATGCCACAACCACCCTCAACATGCACTGTGCAGCTGGGATGAAAATGGAGGGATCAGAGTTTTTCATATACTGTACTTAACATTCCATTTCTGAGCTAAGGCCCTTTGTTCATTCTTGTATCAACATCCCCATGGCCAAAAGATATTTTCATGCAAAAAGAAAAAAGGAATGTTTAGCTATGCATTTGCCATAATGAATAAAGGCCTCAGAAAAAAGACAAAACAGCATCAATGGACAGGCAACCAAGAGTAGTACATCAAAAGTGAGGACACAGAATAGCTGGCAAATATCTGGCAGTGAATGTGCAATCTCCTAAATTCCTGAGCCCAAGTGTTGTTGTGCAGTATGGCTGAAAAGACAACAAGAATTATATATTTACAAAAGTCATGAATGGGGGGGGGGGGGATGATAAAAGCCCTGAGTTGACTCCTTATAACCACTCAAAGGAAGAACTTGGAAAGCTGATACGAAGATTAAGAGAAACTTTGCCAGAGAAGAATGAGAAGCCCAAAATAAGAATGCATGTCAGTGTGTGATGGACAGAGAGGTGAATGACACAGACAGGAACAGAATGGGGCTATAACCAAGAGACATTCATTCTGGGCCAAAAACACACACAATTGCCAACCAATGAAGCCAAAAGAAAGAGAACCTTAAGAATAGTATCTTCCAAGGACACACACCCAGAAATAAGAAGAGAAAATGTACAAGACAAAATCCAAAGACCAAGAAAACTTCAACAGACCAAGAAGAGGAAACCAAGCAACAATACTCAGTGTCAAATGGTAGGATGTAATGGTATCCAGCATAAGAGGGTTCTCAGCAAACTGCTAGAAGGAAATGAGCACCACTACAGACACAAATTATGATTATCAGAGAACTAAAAATCTCTTCAGCATACAGTACACCATCTTATATTGGTGACGAGACGACCAGTAATGACAAACAAGGAGCTACCCACCATGTGCCTGCCAAACAGGTACAGCTACCCAAAAATTTCCAAACAAAAATTCACTGAAAGATGCAAGGAGTCCAAACACAAGCACACGCCACTCTGCTGGGAAGGACAAAGGTTCAGAATGGGATTTGCGAAATAGTAGCAAAAAGGAGGACTGGGAATCAGGGCTGAAACTGCCTCATGAGACTCTGCCAGATGACACAGATCACTAAACTCTCAAACTTTGAGAGAACGGTAAACAGTATCTAGACTGGAGGAAAACACAAAATCAAGTCCACCTGTTCCAGTTCAGACGCAAAGCATCCAATGTACACAGGGGGCTTGTGGTTGCAAGTGAAAGCCAAAATATCCACATTGGGATGTGGAATCATAAAAAAACAATCACTGGCCAAAACACCCAAATCATAAGATACTGGAGCTAGACGACTAATCCCTGGGCCAAAATTGAAGAGGAAACTCTAACTTCTTGCACAGCTTACTCTGTAATACCCTAACCAGAAATTTATTAGCCTGCAGCTTTACAAACAAAAATACAAAGAGAGACCACACTACATGCACAGAGCCAAGTCCTACATTAGAGAGAGAGGTTCCTAGGCATGGCAGAGGAATAACTAAAGAGGATCTACACCATAGTGAAAGCAATACAACTCAGCTTCAGAGGAGATATGTCTATCTGGCAGTAAAGATCTATCAACAAAAGAGTGCCAGAAAAGAAAACCCTGAAACAAAGTTGCTTGCAAAATGCACTAGGCAGTGACATGCATACAACCAGTCACATGCAGTGAAATAAACACTAAGCAAAGTCTCAAGAAGAAACTAAAAATAACTGATCTTGGTGACCACTGCAGGTCTGGAAGCAGGAAGCAGGAACTGCCAAGTAACAAGTAAGGTTGCTGGCTCTGCAGGCGGTGGTACTGCTAGTAGCTGATTGAAAAGCAGTTAGTAAAACAGTAATTCACATGACAATATTTTATTAAAATGTTTGTTGGAGAATATTTGCCAAGTCTAATGTTTGTTGTTTTGTATAGTACAAATCTGGTCTCTTGGTGGTGGCTTGAGTTAGATTTGTCACCATCTTCCTTCCCAAACTATATGACCAGTTGATTTGCAAAGTTACTAATGATAGCAGGTGAAGTCATTAGGGACGGGCCAGAGGAATGTCTCTCTGTAGAGCCCTGAAGGGAGCAACCAAGTGGCTTTAGCTTAAACATTTCATTCTAACAAGAACAATTTAAAAATTTACAAAAATAAATCATTAATATTACACCCCATCGTTGAGCTGCTATCTCTTCAAGTGATGTGTTTTCAAGTTTAGCTTGTTCTTGAGCCCGTCGTAAAGCCTTATGCAGCCAAGCAGCATCTAGTCCAATTGCTACTGAACCAGTTGATGTTTCCTCTTTTGCTTCTTCTTCTGGCAGGCCACTTCCTCCATTTTTGAAGTAAGGGTTCAGTTCCCTAGAGTGGGATCCAGGCTACAGAAAATCAGTGCATTAGAAAAACTTTGGTACACAAGCGAATCCTAAGAATATAAATAAATAGGAAAACGTGTGTTGCAGGATTTGTAAGTTTTGTTAGAAAAATAAATTAAGTTGCCATAATAATTTAAAACATCTCAGTGTGATAAAAAATTAATATCAGACAATAATTACAGTAGAAACAAGAAAAACACAATATATGGCCTCGCCATCAAAGGCTGCTTCTGAGTTCAAACAAGAGCAGTCAAAATCTCAATTCTCATAGGTAGTTGTCAATATATTTTGTTTTGTTTTACTAATTTTCCCAGGGAAACCAGCGCACTGGAAACTTTTTAATCTCTGAATACCAAATATAAATGGGGGTAATACTGCATTTTTTAAGTAACTAACAATCACACTTAAAAAACCAGCATTGAATGTAATGAAACGCCATTTTCTGGGTGAGCCCCGGAGGCTCCCTGGAGCTTATTGGGCTAATGTATGTTATATTAGACCGGGACATTAGCTAAGGAGTTCAGACCTACCAGGGACCAGAGCCAGAACCTGGCCCCTTAACACTTTCGCGCACCCAGCGCGCCACCCCTCAACTATGCGATTTGGGTCCCAGCGTTTCACGGGAGTGCGCATTAATTCTGAAAAATGTATACTCTCTTCAACTTTGTCACCTCAATTCTCGTCCTACGAGATTAAATTTGGTATCATTGTTCTTAACAAAACTTCTATGAATATATTCTCAGAAAATGGTATTTGAAAAATACGCGGTTTTGAAAACTGGTAAAATGTGTCCGTAGAGTTTATCCGGAAACTGTGTGACTTAAACACGATATTTCTATTTTTTTTCTATACGATTTTCCTACTTATTTTCCTCATAAGAACTCTTAACAAACTTCTAAAATCTCAGAAATTATTTTCCTCATAAGAACTCTTTTAATTCCAAATTGACCCCTTTTCTAAAGTTCGGTGAAACCGGTGTGCCATATCGACCCCTTTTTCCAAATGTCCGGCGAATACGGTGTGCCATATCGGCCCCTTTTTCCAAATGTCCGGCGAATACGGTGTGCCATATCGGCCCCTTTTTCCAAATGTTCGGCGAATACGGTGTGTCATATCAGCCCCTTTCCAAAGTTCGCTGAAAACGGTGAGGCATATCGGCCCCTTTTCCAAAGTTCGCTGAAAACGGTGAGGCATATCAGCCCCTTTCCCCGAAAAAAAAGGGGCCCATACGTCTTCATCCCTACTACATATATAGCTGCCCCTATCCCTCGCGGGGCACTTAAAATCGTGTGCTAGACTCTCAATCGTATATGTATGATGTGCGCCATTCCATGACAGTTGCTCCCATCTTATATGTATGTATTGTGCCGTTTAAGGGTTAAAGAGGATCAGCTCGTATTTCTAAGTCCCAGCAAATTCCTATGCGGTCTGAAAAGTGGTTCTAATTTTATATTGAATTTTTCAATTATTGATAATATCCCAACTACACTGAAACATTTTTAACTAAGTTGTTACATTAAAGTAACAATTTTAAAAATAATGATGACAGACACACAGATTCACCAGTTGATTGACAGTTGAGAGGCGGGACCAAAGAGCCAGAGCTCAACCCCTGCAAACACAACTAGGTGAGTACAACTAGGGGAGTAGAGAGGGGATGAAGGGGAAAGGAGCAAGAGGAAGGGGGGCGGGGGGGGAAGTGGGAGGTTGGGAGAGGGGAAGATTGGGGAAAGAGTGAGACCTGGGCACTGTTGGGTACCCATGTAATGTCTAATAAACTTTAATTCACTTACTTTATCAGCTTCACGTTTTCGTTTTTCTTCTTCTTCCTTGGCCTTTTTTCTGCTGGTACCTTCACGTTCCCTCATTTCATCACGAGAGAATGTTCCAAACAAGGATGTCATCTGTGAACAATATCCTAATACAGAATCAAAATAAATAAATAAAGAAATATATATATAAATAAATATATATATATACACACACACACACACACACACACACACACACACACAGTGGCACCTCGACATACGATTGCCCCTACTTACAATAATTTTGAGTTACGATGTAAATTTCATCGAAAAATGCGACTCGACATCCGATGGTGTCGTCGACTTGCGATATTTGTTGGTACACGATTAGCATCCCATGCTCATTGCTTCTCTTTTGAGGGGGAGGCAGGTTTTGGTCTCTGGTCCACATAGGCTTACAGTGACTCACAAGGACCTGGCACTGATTGAATTGGGTGGAGATATCCGAGTAGCCTGACATCTGAGTGGACAGCGTTCGGGATTCATAGTCCCGAGGTTCTGGGTTCAATCCCCAGTGGAGGCGGAAAGAAATGGGCAGAGTTTCTTTCACCCTGATGCCCCTGTTCACCTAGCAGTAAATAGGTACCTGGGAGTTAGACAGATACTAACGGGCTGCTTCCTGGGGGTGTGTAACAAAAAGGAGGCCTGGTTGAGGACCGGGCCGCGAGGACTCAAAGCCCCGAAATCATCTCAAGGAGATAGATAGCAACAAGGAGTTACCATATGAGCCCTCTCAGAAAACTATGGTCACTCTTCTTTTTACAATAATTAACATAATTTTCCTTGTACTCTTCAGTTATGTGCACTATTCAAAATTGGTCCTATTATAATGCATGTTGAAAAACAAACCAACAAGATGCAAGTTAATGGATTAAATTATGAGCTGAACCAATAAGTTATAAGTTAAACCAACAAGTAATAAACAATACAACCCACCATTTTGGCTTCAGCCTTAGGATTTATTTCAAATTTTAAATATGATTTTTCTAGAAGTTGTACCTAGCTCACACACAGTACATATATTTTCTTTATCAGAAACAAATTATTGTGTAGATTTGTAAATGTCTATCATATTCATGGAAGTAAATGACAGACTCATAAATATTGAATCACCTCAATCTGTTTGTACCTAAAGTACTGACCTAGTTGTGCTTGCAGGGGTTCAGCTTCGACTATTGCTATACATAACCTCACTTATGAATGGCTAGTCTACATGGTTATCTGACCAAGGCCATATAAAAGTGTTCTAATATCATGGAATGCACTTATCAATTAACATAATTTTTTTCAAAATTACATCTAGCTGGTTTATTTATTATTTTAAAACTGTCAAAAACTAACTGACAAACATAGGCAAGGCAATAAAAACAAAAATACAATACCTCCATCCAGCTATCACGTTTTGGTGGCTCTCGTGTAGCATCATTTTGTTTCTCTGCTCGTGAGGTACCTGGCTCTATTGTCTCCTCAGCTTTAGCAAGATTGGGGGCACATTTTTCCACCCACATGTTCCCTTCTTCTTCTTCAGTGTCACTGCTCTGTGAAGGTTAAAAATTAAAACATTTTAAATTAAACAATAAAATAATAACCCTGTCAATATACCAGTACTGCATAGTACAATCATCATCATTTTCACTTCATCACTTGCTGCATTTTATATTCATTCATAATACCCTTCTTTCACGCTGCCTCATAACACATTTAGCCTATTCTCAAATAACCCTCCATGAGCTGTACAATAGTCATACATGCCTAACACTTTGTCCTGATAATGTAATGAAAGTAGGGTATGTAGTAGGGTAATGAAAGCAAAAACTTCTACGGGAATGACATCCCAAATGCACCAGGGAAGGGGAACCCTAATACGTAAGGGCAGTACTTACAGGGCGCCTAGGGAAGGATGCCCTTAAGCGCATACAGCCCTGGTACTGATGAGAACACCACCCACAATGCCACCACCCTCCCTCCCCTAAATATCACCACTATCCTCCTATTATCAGAACCCTGGTCAATTTTATCAGTCAGGGAGGGGTCTTCTGTAATAATATCATAGCTAAATAATAGCAAGAACATGTATATTATGGCATTTTTAGGCAATGCTGTGGCACAAGCTGAACAGCAGTGCTGTGAGCTCATGCTGCGTGCGTCAGGCTTGGTAGCTTACTCAATACTGAGGCCCCTCACACCCGGGAATTTGGCCCACGATTTAAAAAAAAATGGTGTCTGTTTAAAAGAGCCCTGATGAAGGTGTGGTGAACCCTGTGTATCCGCAGGCCGTTTAAATCTTGCGTAGTACTCCAAAACATCATATGATGCCGAGCGCAAGTTACTGCAAGTCACTCAACGCATCAAATGATGTCTTGAGCAACTAAAGGGTTAAGGACAACACTATGTCAACCCTTTAGGAAGCACTGCTGGGTTAACCTCTTTAGGAGGTATGGCTGTATTAATCTCTTTAGGAAGCACTGCTGGGTTAACCTCTTTAGGAGACACTGTTGGGTTAACCTCTTTAGGAGGTATGGCTGTGTTAATCTCTTTAGGAAGCACAGCTGGGTTAACCTCTTTAGGAGGCACTGTTGGGTTAACCTCTTTAGGAGGTATGGCTGTGTTAATCTCTTTAGGAAGAACAGCTGGGTTAACCTCTTTAGGAGGCACTGTTGGGTTAACCTCTTTAGGAGGTACGGCTGTGTTAATCTCATTAGGAGGCACAGCTGTGTTAAGACATTTAGGAGGCACAGCTGTGTTAAGACATTTAGGAGGCACAGCTGTGTTAAGACATTTAGGAGGCACAGCTGTGTTAAGACATTTAGGAGGCACAGCTGTGTTAAGACATTTAGGAGGCACAGCTGTGTTAAGACATTTAGGAAGCACAGCTGTGTTAAGACATTTAGGAAGCACAGCTGTGTTAAGACATTTAGGAGGCACAGCTGTGTTAAGACATTTAGGAAGCACAGCTGTGTTAAGACATTTAGAAGGCACAGCTGTGTTAAGACATTTAGGAGGCACAGCTGTGTTAAGACACTTAGGAGGCACAGCTGTGTTAAGACATTTAGGAGGCACAGCTGTGTTAAGACACTTAGGAGGCACAGCTGTGTTAAGACACTTAGGAGGCACAGCTGTGTTAAGACATTTAGGAGGCACAGCTGTGTTAAACATTTAGGAGGCACAGCTGTGTTAAGACACTTAGGAGGCACAGCTGTGTTAAGACACTTAGGAGGCACAGCTGTGTTAACTGCCACTTACTGAAGATGATGACGAACATTTTTTCTTGCTTTTCTTTGCCTTCTTTTCCTTCTTTTTTTTCTTCTTCTTCTCTTTTTTCTTTTTCTTCTTATCTTGTTTGTGAGAATCAAGCTTCGATTCTACAGACGTCAACATCCATGTATGTTCCCCTCGCTGCCGAGCTGCCTCCTCCTTTTGCACTTTGGCCTCATAACTATTTTTTGCCTAAAAGTATAAACAAAATAAGATTGAGGATATGAATTGCAGTAAAGGTAAGTTACATACAGTTAACAATATCTTTCAGCACAGAACAACAATTCTTGTACTGCATCAGCAAAAGCTAATGTGCTTTGCAGTTGATAAATGCATTGGAAGACAGATGTTTGAGGAGACCCAAGGGTCCCACAGGAAGGCAAGTACAGTACCAGCATCAACCACACACAGAAAATTCTAAGTAGTCAAACAAAGTAGTGGCAGAAATGTGATGGTCCCTCCTAAACTCATGCCCAATTGAGCAAAAATGTACAAATTTCCAGTGACTTCCGGTAGAGCAAGAGCCAGACAGTTACCATGCTCCAAGGGTACATCAGAAGCTCATCAAGACCTGGCACTTCTCAGCCAAGCCAGCACTGACACCATCTCCTTGCCTGATGAACCAACCAGAAAACTGAAAATTCTATCAACTTTCCTGAGACCCAAGGCAATAAGTGGGCCAGATGTTGTACCAATCTGAGACATTGAAGCTGAATGCTTAGCAGTAGAATCAAAACCCAATAGGTAAATATCGCATCACATGTTCTGGCAGCCCTCAGGCAGAGGTGTTTAGACATTCACTCATTATCAAGAATAAACCAGGAGTACTATACCTGCCCCAAGAGCAGTCATGATATATCTCTTCAAACAAGCCTAATCTAAACTTGCTCCTATGCTACCCTATCCTAATAAAACTGAGAAATCTGCATATTATATGTGAAATTACCTAAGTGTAGTTACAGGATGAGAGCTACGCTCATGGTGTCCCGTCTTCCCAGCACTCTTTATCGTATAACGCTTTGAAATTACTGACGGTCTTGGCCTCCACCACCTTCTCACCTAACTTGTTCCAACCGTCTACCACTCTGTTTGCGAAAGGGAATTTTCTCATATTTCTTCAGCATCTGTGTTTAGCTAGTTTAAATCTATGACCTCTTGTTCTTAAAGTTCCAGGTCTCAGAAAATCTTCCCTATCGATTTTATCAATTCCTGTTACTATTTTGTATGTAGTAATCATATCACCTCTTTTTCTTCTGTCTTCTAGTTTTGGCATATTTAATGCCTCTAATCTCTTCTCGTAGCTCTTGCCCTTCAGTTCTGGGAGCCACTTAGTAGCTTGTCTTTGCACCTTTTCCAGTTTGTTGATGTGCTTCTTAAGATATGGGCAGCACACAACCGCTGCATATTCTAGCTTTGGCCTAACAAAAGTCGTTTCTTAATCCCGAGGCTAAGAAAATGGTTAAAGGTGTAGAAAGTTTACACTGTAAGATCAACAATGCCAGCAGAGATGTTACATTCTTAAACAGCCACTAGCACACATAGTGTTTCAGGCAGGTCCTTAATCCTAACTTTCCCCAGAAAATGACCCGCCAAATTGTTTAACAACCAGGTACTCAATCACTGCTGGGTGAACAGAGGCTTCAGTTAAGGATTGGCACCCAATCAATCCTTCCCGGCCAGGATACAAATCCAGGCCAAAGTGCTGGGCGAGTGGTTTACCACTGCACCACGGGGACTGCAACGTCCGCAACGCAAATTAACGTCCTTCTTGAGGTGGCACAGGATGGTAGAGAGTGCCCAAAAGCCTGACTTTTAAGACGTCCTGCTAAAGCAAGACATGTGGCTACACTATCCCTCACACACCGCCAACGAGACCCATACCTTCTCCAGCACCGCCTGTCTGGCTTCCCGCTCCCACTGCCGCTGCTCATCCTTCTTCCTAGCACTCTCGAACTCTATGAAGGACATCGACATTTTCTTCCTTCTTCTTCTTCGGGATACGTGCAGTTGGCATGAAGGTTTTTCCTCCCAATGACTGCCTCTAGCAAGTAGCAATTCGCCTTCTTCGGTCGTTTGATGCCTAGGTTTGTTTATGAAGCATCTGCTTGAGAGCACAATTGTTAGAGCATTCCCGTTATATGCAATATGTATATGTATATAATAATTTTAAAATCTTAAAAATTCGCACATAAAATAATTTATATGAAAGAAAGACTCATAAATGTGCGAACTACTTTTTTCTACATTTTAAAATAATTTATACAGAATCTCTTTAATCTCATTCATTACCTAGGTTTCCTAGCCTAGCCATACTCCCTTACTCCATTGTACCCCTGTAACCCCCTTTGTGTTTGTTTGGTACAGTATTGTGTACATTTATTTCTTTTTGTTTTTCTTGTTTTTCCGGCAATCAGCTTTTTTTATGCAGTCAAGTATAGACCCAGAACTTAACCTCTTATCCACTATCTATGACAATAATCACTTTAATGATCTAAATTGCAGATATTTTGCAGCACATGATGTAAACAATGTATTTTGTTTTACAATTCAACGCTGTTTTAATGTAATTTTCTGTAATAATTTGTAATTGTATTTGTGCTGTTTTTTCAACAATGTTCTCCCCTCTTTTACCTCTATTTTTATTTGTACTCAACGCATTTTTTTTCTTTTTACCCATTAGTTTTAAGCTTTAGTCAGTAGTGTTTTTTCCTGCCCGAAACGCTTTGCGTAATAGTGGCTTTAGGCATTGTATGTACTAGCTCTTATCTATAAAGCCAACAAACTTTGTAAAATCTCTTTATGTATGTACCTTTGCCTAAATAAAAATTATTATTATTATTATTATTATTATTATTATTATTATTATTATTAATTATTTTATAGGAATAAAATAAATTATATTGATTACAATGATTACTTGAGTCATTTAAAACAATAAATACAAAATTATAACATACGCTGTAACAGAAGCATCATTTATATTAAATATATATATATATATCAGATGGAGTACTGAAGGACTCTTGCCTGTCGTACATGGCGGAGTGACGATGATTATCAACTAACAATGACAACATAAACAACGAATGCGCAAAATATTTTTGTTCATCATTCTTATAATTTGTAATAACTGGAAAAAACAACATACAACATGTACAGTAGTAAATATCCGTATTGATAAACACAGTCAAAAAGTACCAAAAACATACAGAAAATAAATTCTACAGAATGTATTAATAAATAAATAAATAAATGTTTATTTAATTAAGTAAGGTACATACATACCAGAGATTTTACAAAGAGTGATGGATTAATAGATAGAGCTAGTACATACAATGCCTAAAGCCACTATTACGCAAAGCGTTTCGGGCAGGAAAAACATTAATGACTAAAGCTTAATACTAATTGAGTATAAAGAATAAAATGTGTTGAAAACAAATAAAAATAGAGATAAAAGATGGGGGAACATGGCTGAAAAAGCAGCACAAATACAATTAGGTCGACAAACAGCGTTGTTAAAAAAAAAAAAAAAAAAACATGGGTTGACAATAGAGGGGTAAGGTAGGTTACAGGGAATTTATTAGGTAGTGCTTCGTTTTTATCTTAAACTGGTTGAGAGAGGTACAGACTTTAACATGGTTGGGAAGGTCATTCCACATTCTGGGTCCCTTGATTTGTAGAGCATTTCTAGTTTGATTAAGTCGTACTCTTGGAATATCAAAACTGTATTTGTTTGTGGTGTGGTGCTCATGGGTTCTGTTACAACCCTGTTCTGTTGTATTATTTAATTTAATTGTGTTGGTGGTCGCAGATTGAACATATTCATATATGCATGCGTATTTACAAACATATAATCAACTCCCGTTGTCGGAGACAGAAAGCCTGTAAATTAGGCATATTGGGGTCCCTCATGGTCAACGGATGCCTATCTCTTAAAAGAGACAAGAGACTCGACTTAAGCACCCACACACAACACATAACCAAGTCTCAAAAACGGTCGGTATACTCTCTAAAATCAGATATTATAAATAAATAATAAATAAATAAATATGTTCCAAACTCTGCTCTCCTCTCACTATACTACGCACTAATCTATCCCTATCTTACATATGGTATCTGTGCATGGGGCGTTTAACCTCTACAAAACTACCTCAAGTCCATCATCAACCTGCGGGCCGCTCCAGCAAAAACAAGTTTGCTATAAGGACAATAACAATCAACCAGGTGCAGCTTTCAGACAACACACAGCTTCCCTGTTTAAATCCCTAAACATGCTAAACATAAACTCACTCCACACATTCTCTTGTACCAATTACAATTACAAAACCCTGTTCTGAAACTCTTCTTGGACACATGTAATAGAACCCATAATCACCACACCAGAAATAAATATCTCTTTGATATCCCCAGTCAAACTTAATCTGTGTAAACACTCTAAGCAAATAAAGGGACCTTGTCTATGGAACTCACTTCCTGACAAATTGAAAGGCTGTCCAACTTTTGCCTCGTTCAAAAGTAAAACCAAAATTTCATCTTCACATATAGTGTCCTACCTAGTGCTTTATACTCGCACTGTATCTAATCCTCCAATATATGTACCTAAGCCATACAATCTTTACCTTTATCAGCACTGCTATCAGCGTATATCATGGTTACCTTGAGGTGCTTCCGGGGCTTAGCGTCCCCGCGGCCCGGTCGTCGACCAGGCCTCCTGGTTGCTGGACTGATCAACCAGGCTGTTGGACGCGGCTGCTCGCAGCCTGACGTATGAGTCACAGCCTGGTTGATCAGGTTGACCTGGTTGTTATACTGAGTGCATATTTTACTGCATTATTCCTTAAAATGATCCTCAAATTGTGCTACAATTAACCAGTTGATAACCTCAAATTTTACTCTAATGTACCTACTAATCTTTGCCAATTCAGTTTCTTTCTTTATTATGCACCCCATACCCATCCCGTGGGCGGTGGTGTAAAGGATTACAGAGGCAATACAGAGAACATATACGGCATTCATAGACGAGATAAAGCACCTAAATTATTGGGATCGTCTCAGAGCTCTCCAAATGTACTCTCTAGAAAGGGGACGAGAGAGATACCAAATAATATACACATGGAAAATACTGGAGGGACAGGTCCCAAATCTGCACAGATAACAATGTACTGGAGTGAACGATATGGAAGAAAATGCAGAATAGAACCAGTGAAGAGCAGAGGTGCCATAGGCACAATCAGAGAACACTGTATGAACAATGAAAACTCACACCCCAGAAGTGACTCGAACCCATACTCCCAGAAGCAACGCAACTGGTAACTACAGGGCGCCTTAATCCGCTTGACCATCACGGCCGTCAAAAGGAAGTGATAGCCGAGGCTATTTGAGCCACTTCCCCGATGGCAACTCGGATGGTAATCTTGGGCATAGCATTTCACCAAATCACCTCATTCTTTGGGGCACACGTGAGGAACACAAATGCGAACAAGCCTGAATGGTCCCCAGGACTATATGCGAATGAAAACTCACACCCCAGAAGTGACTCGAACCCATACTCCCAGAAGCAACGCAACTGGTAACTACAGGGCGCCTTAATCCGCTTGACCATCACGGCCGTCAAAAGGAAGTGATAGCCGAGGCTATTTGAGCCACTTCCCCGACGGCAACTCGGATGGTAATCTTGGGCATAGCATTTCACCAAATCACCTCATTCTTTGGGGCACACGTGAGGAACACAAATGCGAACAGGCCTGAATGGTCCCCAGGACTATATGCGAATGAAAACTCACACCCCAGAAGTGACTCGAACCCATACTCCCAGAAGCAACGCAACTGGTAACTACAGGGCGCCTTAATCCGCTTGACCATCACGGCCGTCAAAAGGAAGTGATAGCCGAGGCTATTTGAGCCACTTCCCCGACGGCAACTCGGATGGTAATCTTGGGCATAGCATTTCACCAAATCACCTCATTCTTTGGGGCACACGTGAGGAACACAAATGCGAACAAGCCTGAATGGTCCCCAGGACTATATGCGAATGAAAACTCACACCCCAGAAGTGACTCGAACCCATACTCCCAGAAGCAACGCAACTGGTAACTACAGGGCGCCTTAATCCGCTTGACCATCACGGCCGTCAAAAGGAAGTGATAGCCGAGGCTATTTGAGCCACTTCCCCGACGGCAACTCGGATGGTAATCTTGGGCATAGCATTTCACCAAATCACCTCATTCTTTGGGGCACACGTGAGGAACACAAATGCGAACAAGCCTGAATGGTCCCCAGGACTATATGCGAATGAAAACTCACACCCCAGAAGTGACTCGAACCCATACTCCCAGAAGCAACGCAACTGGTAACTACAGGGCGCCTTAATCCGCTTGACCATCACGGCCGTCAAAAGGAAGTGATAGCCGAGGCTATTTGAGCCACTTCCCCGACGGCAACTCGGATGGTAATCTTGGGCATAGCATTTCACCAAATCACCTCATTCTTTGGGGCACACGTGAGGAACACAAATGCGAACAAGCCTGAATGGTCCCCAGGACTATATGCGAATGAAAATTGCTTCTGGGAGTATGGGTTCGAGTCACTTCTGGGGTGTGAGTTTTCATTCGCATATAGTCCTGGGGACCATTCAGGCTTGTTCGCATTTGTGTTCCTCACGTGTGCCCCAAAGAATGAGGTGATTTGGTGAAATGCTATGCCCAAGATTACCATCCGAGTTGCCGTCGGGGAAGTGGCTCAAATAGCGGCTGTGGTGGGTATGTGGGCCTGCGGGCCGCTCCAAGCAACAGCCTGGTGGACCAAACTCTCACAAGTCGAGCCTGGCCTCGGGCCGGGCTTGGGGAGTAGAAGAACTCCCAGAACCCCATCAACCAGGTATCAACCAGGTATCAACCAGGTATCTGTGCATTGGGGTTTAACCCTCTAAAAACTACCTCAAGTCCATCATCAACCAGCAAAAAATTTGCTATAAGAACAATAACAAACTCAGCTTTCAGACAACACACAGCTCCCCTGTTTAAATCCCTAAACATGCTAAACATAAACTCACTCCACACATTCTCTTGTACCAATTACAATTACAAAACCCTGTTCTGAAAC